GCTTTCAGGCAGGCTGAATCATAAAACGCAGCATTTATATTGTATTGAGTTTTTGTAGCCTGCGTGGCAGACGCAAAAAGGAGAGGGGCAAGGGGGAAGAGAAGCGCGAAGGCTGAGTTTTTGTGACGTTTCTACCGTGCGCTTGTCTGTCTTTTAGGGACGGACCATTAGAAACGTTATGGGGGGGGGACGGGAATTTTCGAGCCGCAGGAATTTTTTTCGTTATTAAATTCCTTGTATGAATTTTTTTTAGGTCATAGCATGAATATTTTTTAGGATTAATTGGCGTGCATGAATTTTTTTTCTTTTAATTTTCCCTTGCGCGAGTTTTTTTTTTTTAACTTCGCCCGCTCCCCCCCCCCCCCTCCCGTTAATAAGTTTTCTCATGGTCCGTCTCTTAAATACCAAGATCCTCTATTAAGATACCCGGGGGGCTTATTTTTTTCAAGTCTATTAAAAGAGACGGGGGGCTTATTTCATTAAGAAAAGACGATGGTATCGGTTCTCCATAGAGAATCAGGATACAAGCTCAAGTACAAGAAAGTTGGGGTCATCCCTGCCTGCCACCGGATCAGAATCAAATCCGAACTTCCGGTTGGTAAATAAACCGTGACCCTGGATCAGCCCACACGAAGTTTTATAGTCATGACTGACTAATACAGTCTATCATTTAATAGTGAATAATAATCAGGGGAGGCGGACTTATTAACTTTCTTCCCCTGAAAAGGGGGGCTTTTTAGAGGGAGGGGGCTTATTACGGTACGAGGTAATTGGCTCCTGATCGTCACGCAGCCCAGTAGGAAAGAGCGTTGCGTGACAGCACGAGATCGACTGTATCGCTCACTCCGGATTAAAAGCTCGCTCCCCGCCAAACTTAGGACTGAAGTCTTCGGAAAACAATCAATGCAGATAAGTTTGCAGTTTACCTTGCGTGCCAAAACAATTCTACGGATGGTCCGTCAAGTCAAGGAAGTGATTTTAAAGGCGAAATTAAGAACATTTTCGGGAAGAGAAATTTCTTAAAAACAGACTAAAATTCGAGTCTTATGCCATATGACTTGGAAAGAGATTCAAATTCCGTGGTGATGCGTTCATAGTGTAATCTGAAATGCATTTTTCATGACCTTTGTGCCACGACCGTGAAATTTTATTAGCTAAACTGTCTTCAAAGTCAAAAATTAAATAAGTTGTCCAGTAGTCAAGGAAATATAAAGATATTGCTCATAGACTTTTAGCATGTTGTGGCTCTTAAAAGAGCCTTTTGTTGTAGGGATCGGCCGCTTGCTGCAAGTCCAACATTAACGCACCTTGCTGCTGAATGATCATCAGCGTTCTACAGACACCCGTCGCTAACGCGCCTTTGACTTTGACAAATGTTCAGTAATATACATTTTTACTCCTATCTGAACGATAGGGTCATTTAGGTTCTCCTCTATCAAAACAGCTTCTTTCAATTCTTTCTCAAACTTTTTGTCGACGAAGCTGGAAATTGTCTTTATCACTTCTGAATCTCCATCGCGTTTTCTTTTTTTTCCTCTCGGAGTCTTTTCCGAGTCTTCGGCTCCTTGATTCTCACCCATCTTCCTGCTGAATGATCAAATTTTTCTAAACATGATTATTTATTCCTTGTGAGCAATGGTGTTAAATTTCGTAGGATCGAAAATGCTTATTCGCCATTGGTGCAGAACTTTTGACTACACAAATAAAGGTCGACTTCAGTTATCAGATTGGTGGGTTTCGATCCTTGACAGAGCAGAGCTTTCTTAGGCAGGTGCATATAAAAAAGGTAATTGCTTCTATAAAAGAAGGGGAGGTAATAATGATAATAATAATAACAATGATGATGATGATAATAATAATAATAATAATAATAATAATAATGATGATAATAATAATAATAATAATGATGATGATAATAAAACTGATGATAATGATAGTAATAATTTTACATAATACCGTAAATCCTCTTTCAAGACCCCCTGTCAAATAAGCTCCCCCTCTCTCTAAAAAGCCCTCCCTTTTTAGGGGAAGAAAGCTAACAATCATCCCTCCCCTTCCCCTTATTATTCTTTACTAATAAATGATAGGCTGTGTTAATCAATCACAACTGTAAAACTTCATTTGGATTGATACAGGATGGTTTATTCACGTGCTGGAAGTTCGGATTTGTTTTTGATCCTCAGGTGCATGACCTCCAACGTCTTGTACTTGAGCAGGTCTTTGGAAACTGAATAAGCCCCCACCCTCTCAAATAACTTTATCAACGTGTCTTTCGTTGTAGTTTACAAGAGTGGAGACACCCACAAGTGAACGTAAGCGCCTTGATATAAGATAAAGCAGTTGTAAACAAGTGAAGGGAGCCACATATGAATAAAGGCATGTTCCTTTAAGTGAAGGCAGGTACATATCTTTCTGGATTTTAAAAAACGGGCCAGCAGACTTTCTGTTTTCACCTGCGAAAAGACCTCCTGATTTCTAAGCAAATTCTCCTAGTTAGAACCGCATTACGCGTAAAGAAAACAGTAAGGAGAATGTGCATCTTGATCTTAGGGAACAATAATGTTTCCTGCACTGAGTTTAATTTGAAGAATCCAGTACGCGAAGGTTATATCGCCCATAGATTTGGAGCCACTAGCATGACCCTGTGACTGAAATAAAAAGGGTTTTTCTCTAATTAGGCAACGTAACTACCCTACTGCAATCGGTAACTTAACTGCAATAGGGGACCAACCTCGTCCCCAGGGCTTTTCCCTTAAACCCATTTTTTTAAGGGAAAAGCCCTGGGGACGAGGTTGATAGGGGACCTGCAACAAGGGACACTGCATATAGCTCATCATAAAATGCTGCCAAGACGAATGGAATAAAAATGTATTGGAAATGACGATGTAGGCTGAGAATTAAAAGCACAGTGATACCATACGTGTCTTACGGTAGGAACATATTTACATCCTCTGAGAACACTGGAGGATTTTCAGGGCTAAAGTGACATGTTTTCATAAATTCACCATGATTTTCGAAAAAATCTTGCCTTCACCAAAGAAATAGCCTTTGAATCAGTTTTTCCAGCCCATCTTAAAGTTTTGGAAATTCATCACCGCGTTCCCTTCACAGGAAAGCTGAATTCAAACTACTGCCAAACGAATCTTGAAAAGAGGCTGTTTAACGTCGCAAAGGTCCACGCCTAGCCAAAGTAGAAAATTCTCCAAGTCCAGCCATGCAAAGTATTCCGAATACTTGTGAAATATTGTCCAACAAATCTGCCATGTTTAGAACGTCTTGTAGGCAAAGAAATACTATAGGGCTAACTTGGAGGAATATGCGGAACGAGCGTCAAAGCGTCCTGTGGTTCGGAAACAGTTAAAAAGTTGATCTCAAGTAATGTTAGGTGTGATCATAAACTTTGTCTGTTCTTTTCGTAAGTCAAGGCAGACCCTTCTAATATTGCTTCTTTAAGGTAAAAAACTCAAGAAAAAAACATTATGCTGAGAAGCAAAACCCTCCCCAGTTCTAGCCTGCGAGCAAGGTCTCTTACTGCCCCTTCCCCCCAACCCCCCCCCCCAAAAAAAACCGGCAGCAAGGGACCTTGCTCGCAGGCTAGAGGCCCCTCCCCCCAACTCTCTCCCCAGGCAACTTCCTCAGTAAGGGACCTTGTTGGCAAGCTAGAATCCCCATTTCCTCCTCTCTTCCAACTGTTTCCCCAACTCTCTCAGCAAGGGACCTTGGTAGCAGGCTAGAACTCCCTCACCCCTCTCCCGCCATTTCCTCAGGAGGGGACCTTGCAGTTAGGCTAGAGCCCAGTTCCCCTTCTCCTGGAACCTTTTTTTTCCCCACGCTTTATTACCAATGGGCTACTAAAATGGAAGCTTGAAAACAAGGAAATGTTTTACTTTTACCGGGCAATTCTTCGTGGATCAGAAGGCCGTCTATGAATCATACACTTGGTCTCGTGTTCGACGGAAAGCCTAATAATAATTTCTTTTGACGAAGTCATGTGTCGGTTGAGAAATACGAGTAAGGTTAAATAAATAAATTGTACGGTCAAAAACTATGTAATTAAGTGTCACATGCAAGTGGGTTATGTGTTTGTGGAAAAGGCTGGTAAGTTCTTTTGGCGGAAGCGCGAGGAGAATTCAGTATTTTTTATTTTTTTGGTACTAGGAATCTTGAATTTTAAGTATTATTTTAAAAAAATATATTTTAACGAGAAATGTTTTCATCATCAATACTTTTTACAGCCCTTTTAGTGTACCTTATTTTGAGAAAAAAATCACGATGATGATTAAAAATTGGCTTTCTAGTCAACGAAATTGGTAGAGAATACAGTCGCACTAAACTCTTCGATAAATATTTTTGTTTCGCTTTTTAAGTTTATTTTAAGTATTATTTTTTAAAAAATATATTTTAACTAGAAATGTTTTCATTATCAATACTTTTTACAGCCCTTTTAGTGAACCTTCCTTTGAGAAAAAAATCACGATGATGATTAAAAATTGGCTTTTTAGTCAGCGAAATTGATAGAGAATACAGTCGCACTAAACTCTTCGATGAATATTTTTGTTTTGCTTTTTAAGTTTAATTATCAAACGTGTCTTTCTCAGCTAGCGTCAGGAAATTTTAACTGGAACATATCAGTGACCATGTTAAAATTGGGCTATATATGCAATTTCGGCTTAATATCCCAGTACTTAACGTTTACCAGTGATCTCCGTTTTTTGGTTGAGATTTCTGTGAAAAGCTCGTTTACTCGAAGTACAGTACGCGCCTTTTACGTTGATATGACAGAATTTTTTTCTTTTACTTAAAAATAGTCTTTGATTTCATCGAACCATTTCACCTGCCGCTAAAACCATTCTTGCGCAAAAGCAAATCACTTCTCGGTCTGACGCATTTTTTTCCCATGGTGATCAACCATTCCCAGCCACTAAAATCACGAATTCTATACTCCTTATCAAATAAACACCCCCTTTATGGCTGACGATTCCAGCCATTGTTAGAACAAATGTTTCCCAAACCTATGTAAATCTCGTCTCTCTGAAGCGACACATTTTCACCAGACAAAAAAATTGTGCATCGCTCGACGTCAATTCTCAATATTTGTTCATTTGAAAAAATTCGGTCAGGTTCTTTATTAATGTACTTTTTTTATGAAAGTAGTATTTTAAACGGAGAAGGTGTTTTTGAAAGAAAATTCAAAGGTGAAGAGATCTTCTAGATTTTTTTCTGAGAAAAATGAATTATTCAAAATAACCTAGGATCAATTATTCCTTTCTAGCCAAACCAACTGTTTCTCCTACGCGAAATCTGATTGGTTGACGGTACGCTGGCAGCAGAGTTCTCCACTCGAGTTCGCCATGTTGAGTTGACAGATCTCCGAAAATGTCTCTACTGTTACTTCTGAAAGCTTGCTCAAATCTTCGGGGAAAATCTGACCGGATCGCCAGGGTCACTTTTAGAGGTATGCTATGAAAAAAATTTGTTAGATTGTGAGCTGTCAATGGCTTCGAACGCTTTTTGAAGCTTCTTGTCTGACAAGAACGATCGCTCGATGGATCGCTCAGAGGACAGGTTGTTAGAATGTGCGAAATTTCTCCTTCGGTTGTCTGTTTCCTTATCTGGTTTTCGTATCGTCTAAGCCTTACATATATATCAATAATTTCAAAATTGGCGATTTAATTGTTCTTAGGTCGTTGTGAAGAATTCTATGTTTTGTTCCTTGGGTATATTTTGTTGGTGGTTGGATATTTAATTATTCAAGTTTGGTTCAGCTTTTTCTTTAGGAAGGAACGTTGCTGCTTTCAGATAGATTCTATACCACTAGTATTTACGATCGTAATACGAATGATACAGGAGCGAGTGTTTCAAAAATATTCATGGTAAAACTAAAAAACATCTACAGTATGTTTATGTAGTGTCATAGTTGACAACTTAAATTTTCGTGTAAGCTTTACATTTGTACGCGCCAAATTTTTTAAACTAAGCTTAAGTTGTACGAAAATTGATCGAATCTCGTGATCGTTCCAAACGCGGAAGTTTTTTGAAAGATAAATATCAGAGAAAATATACAAAGCTTCAACTCAACTTTAGGTATTTGCTTAATTGTGATTTCAGAGGTAATATTTCCTCGGCTTCCGTAACAAAAACCGCACGGCGCGCGTTTGCATTCGAGCCAACTCAACCATGGAACTTAGGCATAGTTTAAATTTCTTTGCGGGAGTTTACTTCAAAAGTGAAATATTACACATTGTTTACAAAGAAATCCTTTTTTAACAGTAATATCAAGACTAGAAAGCCTGTTTCCAAAATCATTCTTGCTTCGAATACTACGCCGTACGGTCCTACAAACTTTTAACGTCGTCCTCGAACGCTTCCGGTAAAAACATGGCGTCTGGTTGTAGAGATTTTGACACAAATGTCTTTTAATGTAATTTTCAAGATAATACATTAGATGATAAGTAAGTCTCCTTTGACGGCTTTGCAGTGGCAATATTTTTTTTATGCGGGAATCCATTCTGTTTGTATTAAAATTTATCAGAAGCCATTTTAATGTGCATCACAATTTTCATTGTGTAAATAGCAGAGTGAAAATTGAATCGATCTGTTTGTCGGGTTGAGCGTGCGGAATTTTAGCTTATATACTGTCTAATGGATAAAAGAAAGAAAATCATTCTAACGTTATTTTATTTTGTATTTACGTTAATCCCCACAAAAAAGCAGTGATTACAAAAATTACTTAATAAAGTTAAATTGCATGTAACTTTTACTTCCAGTGGTGATTCGAATTTTGGTATTAATCTAAATTTCATGTCAAATTTTATAACGAATGATTTCTTTGCCGGCTTTTAAACATGTGAAGAGTAAGATAATGGTAGTTGATCTGTTCAAACCTCAGAATATTTCAAAGTCAAATTGTGATTATGTTATTTAAGGTTAAAATTATTTTTCTGAGAAATAGTAAAGATGGATTTGACCAGTTGTTGAATTGGACTGGACAATGCAGGTTAGGTTTATCGTCAAGCCATCTGAAAGTCATCTTGCCTGAAGTCTTGTCCCTGAAACCAGAGTTATGTTGCCCGAAATTTTTAGTTAAGATGACTGAAATTGTGAGTTATGTCACCTGAAATTTTATAATGCTCAACAACATCCTAACATCTCCTTTATACATTTTATTAAACTCGTTTCATTCTGGCCTCAGTTGTTCAAAAGGTGGATAATGCTATCCATTGGATAAATCTCTATCCACTGGATAGCGCAATTCGTTTTCCTAATACTCATCCCCTGGATAATGATGTATCCTGTGGATAGCGCTATCCATCTTTTGAACAACTTGGGCCTGGAGGAATGAGATTTAGTACACAGTTATCTGCCTTGTATCATCTCACATTTGCTTGAAGAGCAATTAAGATGCTTTTTTATCCAAATAAACCAATTCATCCCACTCATTTCATCTCATTATAGCGGAAAGAATGCGATACTTATACAGATTTTATAATCCCATTAGTTTTAATAAGGATATATTATGCAGTCTCTTTATTTAAAGTTTTTCTTTCTTTTTTGAGTTTGATAAAATTTCAAGCCACACACTAACTCAGCATTTGGGCGATATTGCTCAGCATTTCAGGTGACTTAATGAAAAATTTCAGTTGACTTGACCTGTTCCTGCAGGTTACCATATTAACCTGAGTGTAATACTCACTTTCTTCATCAAAACTTTTTTTACACTTGGCTATAAATAATGGACCTTCACACCGGCTTGAGTAGTGTAGTTTTATACTTGTTTTTATTTCTTTATTTCTAATTTTATTTTTTCTTATCATTAGGGGTAACATACCAGACGAGTGTTATTGAAAACTGCTCTGAAGCTGATTGGGATGAGGTAGGTTCACAAATGAGTAAGAGCCCTTTCTTAGATAATGAACTATAACTTATTTTAATTAAGTAATTTTGGTGATCAAAAGGCAAAAATCATTATCAATAAGAGTTGGAGTAAACCCTTACTGAATGATAGCTCATAGTGATGATTGCCGCGCTTAGTAATCAAAGGTTGCATAGCTAAATTCCTTTAACTACCATCTTTATCAGTCCAGTACAGTCAAACTTCCTTTTATATCGAAAGATGCTGTCCTCTTTAAGTCAGACATCTCCTTAAACTGGACAGTTAAGGTGCTTACCATTAATTTCCACAAAACATCTTGTTAAAGATTTATCAACTAAATTTGATCTTGTGGGAGAAGGACCCACCTACAAGAAGGATCTGTGTCTGATAGGGGCTGTCTACCGACATAGCGGTCTAGTGTTGGTCGACATATTGATTGATATAGCAGCTTAGTGTCGGTCTACATGTTGATCAATATGTCACTTGAGTGTAGATTGAGTATTGGTTCTACACTGGTTGGGTGTCAGTCAAGTATCGACCTCTGTATCAACCGATCATCAGTTAACAGGTGGTCTTGATAGTATCGGTAGGGTATCAGTAATAGGTAAACCTATCGCTGTGTATCTGTTACAGGTCAAAATTAAATTCAGGTGAAAATTTTTTAACCTAGGTTAATTCTCAATTTGCTTTGTCTCCTAGCCCTAATTCGTAAATACAGTATAATCAGGGCTAGGAGATAAAGGAAATTGAGAGTAAACCCCTACGTTAAAAAATTTTAACCTGAATTTAATTTTGACTTGTTAAAATATTCGTCAAGCATCATGAGTGTTGTGACAAACCCTGCATCTTGATGCTCTGTGCAGTCTAATTTGACCAAAATTTGCATGGCAAATAAGGTGTCTATCTATCTTTCCGGCCCTGGCTTTTCGGTCTTGCTCAACTCGTCAATCGATTTTTTTCCCTACTTGTTTTGTGTGCAATGGATCACCATTGTTTTCAGTGAGGAAATTTTTTTCTGTGCCCAACAAAGGTACTAATAGTATAACATTTTGTGTCTGAACTGAGGTGACTGACCAACTTGTTGACCGAATGTTGGTGATATGTTGGTGTTCCATCATGAAAGTAACGATTGACTATCAACCAACTATTGACTGATAGGTTATTTGGGTCGACTATTGGCCACATATTGACCAACATCTAGCTGATATATCAGCTGAGACTAGACCAAGACTCTGCCGATATATCGACCTATATGTCGACAAATGTGTTGGTTGACAGCCCCTATGAGACACAAGATCCAAAAAGTATATCCAAATCGGCTGGACAGGCTAAAGAATCACAGTCAACTCCAACTGAATTGATTGATATAATAACTTGCATGAAGATTTTTACCTGACAAGGCACAAATAGGCAGATGGACACCCGAGAAACAAAACCGTTATTTACAAATAAGTGGTCGCTTATGGGAAGTGGTCCCTTTGGGGAAGTGGTTCAATGCTATAAGAGGAGTGACTGTATAATAATTGCATCACCTCAAATGCCAGCCCACATTTTCTGAAGCTTCCCATTTGGAATGGCGAGAACCATGTGGTTTCCAACCGGAATTTCTGATTTTCCCATGCAATTTCATACATACTACACCTCGTCAGCCCGATACTTTATACTTGTGTTTTCAGCAGTACCATAACTAATTCTCTATCATAAATTTGTTGCACAGGACTTTGAGTGGCCCCTGGAGAGTCCGCTGGACCCCAGTGAATTCATTGAAATTGAAGTTTACAACTTCAACAAAATCTTCAACAACAGGTTTTTAATAGTTCTTATTTATTTGATTTTGTTTACATTGATTGCAGTCAACAGACCACATCCTAATTTTGCTATGGAGTTAAAAAAAATTGAGAATGGCAGCTATGTTTCTCTGTGGCAATAATTTACTTCACTTCCATGCAAATTACTAGCCTCACATTCTGTCTGTTGTCTCAAAACCATGTGATGCCCCACGTTTCCCATTGCTTTAAAACTGTTTAATATATGTGTACATTGTACGGCTGTATCACACATGTTCTCAGTTACCAAATCTACAGATACGAGATATTATATAGAAACAGGAGTCTCATTTGCATTTTATATTATTAATCTGTGATTACCACTAGTTTGATAGATCTGATGGTTGGTTGTTTTTACTTTTGTGATTGCAAACAGAGTTTTTAAGTTGAGATAATTAATATCCCCTATGCTTGAGTGCACTACCTGTACTTGTAAACAAATTTTAATTTATTTATTAAATCTTACTTGTTGACCTAAAACAGATCATGAATTATAGCCTTATAAGAGACATATTAGGCAAATCTGATTTACGATAGAATGCACATGTATTGCCTCAAGTAACATCCTTTGCCAGGTTAAACCAGTTCTAAGCTGGTTTGATTCAGAATTTCCTTTGTTTCATACACCAACGTAGCTAAGAAAATTCGTAGTATACAACTTTTGTTTAACCTTAGAATGGAGTATTCTCTGAAATTTCAACATGTGCACACTTATTCCATCAAGTAACCTTTTTTCTTCCAAGACTTGTTGGAGTGTTCCGCATGGTACTGCAAAAACTCATTCAAGATGGCCACCTTGAGGTCATGGAGAGTCTCATTGATATGAACAACACAGTGCTTAAGGTAAGGATGTTTGTAAAAACCCATTCACTTGAAACTTGTCAGTTTTTGTTCATCTGTCATGGTACTTGAGTTTGACATGTCTACAAGTTACTTTTTCAGGAAAGGGTTCTCTCTTAAGAATAATTGAACGTCTACTTTTATTGGATTTCACTAGGTCTGTTATGAAGACTTTTTCTAAGTTTTTTTTCCATGAAGTTAAATAAAATTTAACACAGTTAACAACAAGTCATGTGTTGATGGTCAGCGGTCAGTGCGGTGGCTCAAGTGCAGTCAGCCTTGATCTCCATGTGCTTAGTACAGCATTTCCTGTTGGCCTCTCTCTTCGTTTAGCCTTTGGATCAGCCATTTACTCCCATCCCTCTCCCCCTTTCATTTTTCACTGATAAATCAGTGTGATGGGTACATGGTTCCATTGGCATGAGAGCTTATGGCTGGAAGGCGTGGTCTTACCAGTCATAGGGGTGTAACTCTGTCTAGGGGTTGGCTTTGCCAAAAGTGGAAGTCACTGGACATCACAGGTGCCCAGCTCCACTAAGTGATGCAGTTGTTAATGAATATTAGCTAGTCATGATGGAGTTTTGAATAGTTTTCAGTGATATTTTTTTCTCCTTCAGGCAACTGTTAACCTGGAACTGCAGTATAATCCACCTGAAGGAAATGTATCACAATGGGTCAATAACATTCACGACACACTTGATGCCCCACCCCAAGTGGGCTATATGCCTGACAGTCAATATCAGATGGATCCATATCAGCATGAACGTCGAGGCTCCTTTATCGGCATAGGCAGTGCATTTGGTAGCAAGGCATCCAAGAGCCAGTCAATGACGAGCTTAACTTCCAGCAGTCATCGGCAACCAAGGAAAGAGTCAATGCCTGCTTCATTTGGTGGGGGTAGGTTCATTTCCCCTGAAGGTGGAGGTGGATCACCTTTTGATGCCATGTTGAAGGGAGATGGTGTTGGAAGTCGCAGAGGATCTCAGATCAGTATGCACAGTGACAGGAGCATGAGTATGAAATGGTAGGGTTTTGGATTCTAGAAAGTGAGAGCACTTTTATTTCTCCATTTTGCCAAAATTCCTGAAAATTTAAGTAAAAAAATACATGTAGTGGAGCACTTCAGTCCAGGTCTCCAGTTATGGAGAATAGTGGTTTACTTAATTGGAAATATGTAGAAGTGTTTGTTTTTGACCCAGCCATCTCTCCTCGCTCCTTGGTGCTAGGGACGTTTGACGAGGAAAGGAGCAAGGAAAGATGGCTGTTTTCACAGGCTAGACAACAGGGGAAACCTGTAAAGTACCCAGACAAAAACCTCTCAGGGTATGGCAAAGTACCAACAATTAACTCAACTTAGAGTTCTCTGCAGTTTTCAAAAGTGCAAGATTTCTTTTTGAAAACCAAGAATGGCCACCTTTTTTTATGCCATTAGGTGGATTAGGAGCACCAATGGCTTAAGCATCCAGCAGGGCCTGATGGAATTCTCCCCCAGATGAAATTTGAAATGAAACTCTCAAATGCTGTTTTTAACATTCCTGAAACTGGAGAAACACATCTCCAGGAAATTATTTTAATTTATGTGTTTCTTGATTCTCTAATAAAGAGTAAAGACGTTGTAATTTTCTTCTCTCTTAACATTAAGACAATGACTTCATGTGATCATTAAAAAACAAACATACAAACAAACAAAAACAAAAAGTTAACACAATCCGAAAAGAAAGAATCCTGCAAATATGTGGAATCAGAGCACTGGGGATATGACATGCTAAGAAATGAGGCAAACCTCGCGCCTCAAACAGCCCTAATGTAATGTTACGTCCTGGATTTGAAGCCAGGCTAAATTGGCGGGATGTACATGTAAGTGTTGTCACCTCTGTGCCATCCTTGTCAACCAAACGGGTCACAAGTTTTTGTTTTCTGTTGCCTTTTGCAGTAGTCACGCCCATCCTAGGGTGAGAGCTGAGAAGAAAATGTCAGTCAGAGAACAAGACTATCAGGTTGGTTTAAATACTGCAAAGTCCTAAAGGCTCTGGGGGTGTACATGTACATGTATTAGATCCATGGCAAAAAGAAACTTTAAATCCCCTTCCCCTTTCCTCCAGACTAAAGAGCATGTCTACAATGCCATTTGTATATATATATAACTGTATGTATGTCTCCCAATTTCAGTGAGTGAGCATGTATTAGTTTTAATTTATTGCTCCTTTGCATTGTTGTTCAGATACAAGTTCGTATCCTGGAGGGTCGGCAACTTGCAGGTACCCAGATTGACCCAGTTTGTACAGTCAATGTTGGTAATCAAAAGAAGAGTACAACCATAAAAGAACAGACCAATTGTCCCTTCTGGGATGAGGTAAGAAGAAGCAGTGAAGGAAGCTACTGTTGGAGAGTAAAACCACTAGAAACATGAAAGTTGTTTGTGATTAATTTAATTACTTTCATTTTCTTTCAGTTTTTCGTCTTTGACTTCAAGATGCCCCCAATGGTGTTATTTGACAAGATAATCAATTTCCAGGTAATTTCTTGCAAATATTGTATCATATCATTATATTTATTTGATTCAGATCTTTGGACAAAAATGCTAGAAATATGTACATACACACAGAGTGCAAAGAGAGTCAGTTTTACAGCTTGCCATATGGGCAAGCTGCAGCTAGCACTCATTAACTAGCCCAAGAGTCATTTTAATTAGCACGAAAAAATTTTGATGAGTATAATTGATCTCAGTTCTTCTGTAATTTGAATTCCCCCAAAACACTTCACTTGCCCATCGGGCAACTTAAGAACAGAATTCACTAGCCAAATCCTAAAATCTATTAGCCCCAGGTTATTGGACATGGCTTTCTTTGCATGCTGACATGTATAGTTAAGTGACATAGATAACTCGAAGGCTGTGCCATTGCATGGATACATTAAAACTTGCTCTGATGGTGTAGCTTTTGTCATTTTCAAATAATACCTTATGCGGTTAAATTTTTTACTGGCAGGTTTTTACTGGAAGGAACTTAGTCAGCCAGGGCAATTTGATTGGAGCATTTAAGGTATTTGTTAATTTCAATAACATTATGTTGCTTCTTTAAAGACTCCTGATATTAGCTCAGACTGATTCTTTCAGTTAAGAAATAAGATACAATTAACTTTCTTTTAGCAGGCACCATCATAGTACTTATTGGAGTCTAAGGTCTGGTTCAATCTATCACTGTATATTTGCATGAATTGTTCTTATTGTTATTTTCAGCAATTTAAAGCCAAGTTAAGTTCTTTTTGCAACTTAAGCAAAACCTACAAAAGCTGCAACTGTGCAAAACTTTGCTACTCTTCTTGTGACTAGCACCAAGAAGTTCCAGGGCTCGAAATTAAAAAAATCCTCAGGTCGCCTTTTGGCGACCAACTGGAGAAATGTAGTTACCAAATACAAATTTTTAGTCGCCAGTTTGTATAATGTAAATGCCACAACTCATAGTTGTTGCGATCCATCAGATTTGATTGTTTGAAAATATCATGGACAAAAGTAGGTATAAATATTGAGGTAAACTAGCTTTGTTTACGCGATTTGGCACATTCTTTTTGACAAAAGCAAAGCAAGATAAGATGAAATGTTTGTTTTAACTTTACTTTTTTAATGGGAATCTAAATCATAGAGAAATCTTGGTTGCATTGGTGACCGTATCAGTTGCAATTTCAAGCCCTGAGTTTGCTCATGTTACTCCAGTATTACTGGAGTTATAGTAGCCCTCAGTGAAGAGTCAGCTGGAAGTACGGGACGTCACACTTTTGTATAAGATCAATGGCCGTGTGCCTGCTTATCTAGCCAGTAAGACTGGCCAAACCTCAGATGCACATAGTTACAGCACAAGGCATAACGATCAGTTACAATCTCCCTTTTGTACTACTGCTACTGCTCAGCATTCCTTTTTTTATCGTTCAACAAATATTTTGAACTCCCTTTGCTTAAACTCTAGAAACAGTGAATCACTCTGTAAGGTGGAACTATTTAGCATAATATAAATGTAAATAATGATTTTAGCTTAGTTTTTTATGATGCTTGTAACTTTCGTGAGAGATAATAAAGTTATTGTATTGTTTTGTATTACCGGTATATTGTAAGGGGGACTGACTCCCAGTTATTCATAAAGAAATTGGGTTATTTTATTGCACCTTGTAAGTGATCCAAACAGTTTTCACTGACGCCAACTTGTCCAGTAGCCTAGTGAGGTACATAGTCAGGGTTGTCACTAAGATTTCAAGTTACCGGGTAAATACAACAAGTAGGCGGTGAATCAAACGGCTAGGGATTTCTTTTGGTTCTATTTTTCTTCTATTTTCCAATAAAAGTTTCTTAGTAGTAATGACAACCCTGATAGTGTAGTGTACATGCATCATGACGAATTATCTGCATTTACATAGTGCACTCTGATGTATTTGTTTTTGTTAGCTGGATGTGGGAACTGTGTATGCTCAACCAGATCACAGATTCTGTCGAAGATGGGCTGTATTGACTGATCCTGAAGAAACACTTGGGGCTTCTGGTGCTGGCGTCAAGGTATTCATAGTGTTGTACATATGTTATTAAGATAAAGGGTGAAGTGAAGTCAAGAAGCTGAAGATTTGAACGAATATAGCACTTAAAACAACAAATTTAACGGATTATCCCTTTAAACTTATGGCCTGGTGTAACTAACGTCATTTCTGAAACAACCAAAAATAATATCATTTGCAGGCTTTCTTGTCTATCTCATGCTTTTGCAGTTAAATGAGTTCTTACAGCAGGGACTCCTCCTACAACTTCACACGAAATTAAATCGTCAAATGTTTATGCACAAGCTGTCCACCCACTGGTTTGTGTAATAAATTATTTGTAATAATAAGGTTAAGTCCAGGTTAAGTTCTCTCCTGAAGTAGAGCAACTAATTCCTTGTATTGGGTGTGCCTTTTAACCAGTCCATCATTTGCTATTGCTGGTGGGAAATCAATGAATCCTTTATCATTCTTGCTACATAGGGCTACCTTAAAGTTGACATCACTGTCTTGGGTAAAGGTGATCCTGCAAAGGTGAGTGGAATTTTTTTTAACTGGATGGTATGACTGTCCTTTAATTTCTATGTACATTTTATTTCATTTATTCATTATTTCATTGTCATCCTTTCATGGGCTTATAACCAGCCAGCTCAATGACCTGCTCCCAGTCGGCTTGTTAGCTCAATTCTGTAGAGCACTGTGCTGGTTCAAAGGTCAAGGGTTGGAATCCTGTACAAGCCCTTTTTTTTTTCAGGCTCCCTTTTCGCAACTGCAGAAGTTGCGTCTATAACTGTAATGATCTCTTTTTATTTAATTCTTGACCCTGCAGTTCATCTTTATTCTTATTTCATTGTCCTTCACTTGTTAGAATTTCCCTTGCCTGACATGATTTTTAGGACATATTTTAACTGTGCAAAAACGTATTTTTTGAATTGGATGAAATATTCATTGTAATGGACATGTGTCTTTTCCTTTCAGGAACCTCCAGGCATTAAGGACAATGATGATGACATTGAAGGGTATGAATGAAAGTATTATTATTTTCTTCGAAGTACTGTTGTAAAATATTTTGTCTTGTGATAGTGCGTGTGATTGGCATAAATCGGCATAACTTCCATAAATTTTGGTAAATGGTATGTGTGAATCAAAACTAGAATTTTCTAGAGGTGGAGAGGGGTGGGGGTTTCCTGGAGTACAGCATGTAACTTACCAGTCACATCGGAATCGTTTCAGCCGTGAATTAACCTCTCCATTGTAGCCACCCGTGACATATTTGACTGATTATGACAGGAAACAGCATTTTATTATTGAGACACTGACAGCAATTGGTCTTGACAGATAACTTACTGTAAACTCAAATGTTTTCAGGAATCTTCTGCTACCTGAAGGAGTCCCTGCAGAGAGACCAAAAGCAAAGATCATAGTGAAGATTTACAGAGCAGAAGGTCTTCCAAAAAGTAAGGAGGTGGAGGAGGAGCATAACTACAAATGAGCTATCTTTATGTACTTACATGTGCAACTCCAAATTCTTAGAGGTGTACATGTGGTGACTGATAATCTTTTTGCTGATTATTTTACTTTGTAGTGAACAGTGGACTGATGGCTAATGTCAAGAAAGCATTCACTGGAGAGGTACAGTTTTATTCTTTCTTAGCATGGTAACCGAATTAGTCCAAAGGGATTAACATTCACTGGTTTTCCTTACAGGTGCGAGATCTTGTGGATCCCTATGTGGAAGTGTGCTTTGCAGGACATAAGGTAAGTCAATATTAGTAGAGCTTGCTTGGCAGCAGGACTCTAAAAATGCAAGCGTTTCTTTCTTTCTTTTTTTTTTTTCTGTGTCCTCATCAAAATTAAAGCGGGGGGTGGTGCCAGGCATTGCTATCGGAGACCATGGAAACTGGGGATAAGAATTGTGTCGATGTGACTGCCAACATATAAAAATTTTCTAGAGCACCATGCATGTCTTGTGAAGAAAGCTTTGGAAAGATTAATGCAATATATGTCGAGCTTTTCCAGAATGGGTCAGTCCATGAATTCTATTGCTTGAAAGCCTTGATTTCTTTGGAACAAGTGAATATTTCAGTCATCAAAAAAAGGAGAAGAATCGCAGTGAGCAAAATTTTGGTGGGGAGGCAAACTAATTGTGTGTTGTAAACTTTCATTGTATGCAAATGAGTCTTGTGATGAGCATGCGGTTTTTTTGGCAATAATTGAAATGATGCTCCATGTTCATCACACTTTTGTTCTTTGACAATGATGAGCATGCAGTTTCATTTTTATGTAGTTATACTTGAAATGATTCAGAAATCCATTGTTCAATATAAAAAGTAAATGTCTTGAAGAATACTCAACTTTTTGCTTTTAAAGGAAATGATGTAACAATTTCTCCTCATTTCTTATCTAATCTCCATCTAAGTAAACTTAATGCTTTTAAGAGTGTCTTGTTCCCCTATGATCTTGAAATACCCAACCTGTGAAGTCAGTTAGACTGTAATAATGTTTGAAAACATGGGGTCAGTTCATGCAACAAAACAGGTTTTAAAAAAACTTCATTTCACAAAGTCATTTTGACTATCAATGGCTTTGGTCAGGGTTATATGCTTCTGCTTTGATTTTGTATCCCTTTACTAGGATTCTCACCATTTTATGACAGGTAGTAGGAAAAAATTCTGCTGGACATTTTCAGGGTCTGTATAGTCGTGGATGTTTCTCTGGTGGAAAATATGCCAAATTTGGTGTATTTTTACACCTTGGTCACTGGCCATGATAGGGTACTGTAGGATGATGCACAACAAACTCAGCAGCCTTCAAATATAAAACGTTATATTAAACAATGTACTTAATTTGTCTGTATATTTCTTATTGATTCACAGGCCAGAACAACAGTGAAAAAGAACACCTATGAACCAATGTGGAATGAACAGATTGTCTTCTCAGAACTGGTAATATTTTTATTTTATTCTTGGATTGTTTGGCATGACAGATTATTCTCTGTTTTAGTGTGGACTCTGTTACAGTGAATGGGCCATTTAGAATACTTCCTGTAAGATGTTGTGAAAATTCCTAGGTTTATTTTAGATTTAGCTCTCTCTGCACGGTTTCCTGAATACAGTGATTTTTGTCGCTCAGAGTAAGAAATATCAAACAGCAAGTGGCTGATATAAATTCATTCCAGTACTAAGCTTACATTTATATTAGAGGTTACCTTTATGGTGGAATAAGACCTTTGTCTTTGAAAATCAAGCAAAAGTGTCATCTCCAGCTTGCTGGTCATTGCTATCGGGCAGATAAAGAAATATTTCCGTCTCTTATCTTCTGGTGCCCAGTGGGCAGAGTGCATTGCTAAAGTGATTGCTAGGGATTCAGGACTTGAGACCAAGGACTTGAGTACAGGGAGGGCAATTGGTGGTGTTTAGGAAGAAATCTCCATGAATGTCCAATCCACTTTGGAGGTGGAAGGATGTTGATGATGATATTTATGTTATAAAACCCATACCACCCTGTATGGCAGAGGTTGTGCTAATATACAATATATATGCCTTTGTAGTTGAAATTAAAATCTCCTGTTTTTCTCTATATAGTTTCCTCCACTCTGCAGAAGAATGAAACTTCAACTTAAAGACAGGTATGGACAACTGTGGCTATACTTTATATTCTACAATGTTTTCTTTTTGCGAGTTTTGGGTCATGGTCAATCATCATCACATAGATTCTTCTAGACAGTCATTCCATAAATCAGTCTCCGACTATTTGAATGCCTATTAATTGTCAATCTCTCAGCCTGTGACCTCTTATCTGTTTAGTCGGGTATCCATCAATCCGGGCATCAAATCGAGCCAGTCCTCCTGCAGGGACTGTCAGCCATTTTTTTGACAAGACAGTAACATGGTCCCAGCCACATGAGAACACTGGATCCTTAAAGACTCTGCTCCCTAAGGCAGGCATTTCTCGTATTTGGTGGACGCGTTTTGTGGTTCAAGGCTGTCTGCTTATTGGAGGTTGATGACTGGACATTTGGTGGTTACAATATAAGCAGCCTTTAATTTTTGTAGTTTAGTTAGAACTTAGCTGCTCACTTTGTTTAAGTGAAGATAAGGTCATTCTGTTCATCCACTCTAAGCACTGATTTTGATTTACCCTTGGCGTAAATATCTTATTAATAAGCTTTTATGGAGTATTGCATTTGATCATTGCAAAGGTCAAGGTCTGGATTGATGTTTTGAAACAATCAAACAGCTTTGTTGCGCTGTGAAAGAAACTGAGATACTACTTTATTAATTATGTCTATTTTTTTCTAGTGACTCAGTTTCTGATGAGGTCATTGGAACTCATTTTATTGACCTGTCCAGGATATCCAATGATGGCGCTAATGGTATGTGATATTAATTCAGCTATCTCAACACTTCATGGTTTACATTGTGAATGATAAGATAATTAATGGCAAAGACATCAAGAGTAGCTTTTATTTATTTTATTTAATTCCATTCATTGTACCATTATCACTGATTTTGTTACCTCTGTGTCTGGAATCTCTGATGCATAAAAATCCCCAAAGACGCAAAACAATTCATGGCGTGCGTCCTGTAGGATGCAAACATTGAACGATTGATCTGAACATGTGCTTTTGTAGAATTATCCTACTCGTTTAATTTCCGTGGCAGTTATTATGGCTGTTGTTTAACAATGCATATTTCTTTTAGCATCTGTTGTGCTTTAAAATAGAAGGACGATAAAATTATTTTAATTTCAGTATAGGTACTGCAATACTGAGTTTTGGCGTCTGTCTTCAGATTAACTGTCTGGTTACATAAAGGCCCAAGCATTTTCAATTACACACTGTTTATTTTTTTTTCTGGGACTCCTGATTTTTCACAAGAGGAGTCCCAGGACTCACCATAACTATCTCACTGTGCAACAAAATCACTGCATTAATCTATAGCAGTTGCAAAATGATAAATTAAAAAAACTGGAAAAGATTCCTTACAAACAGTTTTTGATAATATTAATAACAAAATAAAAATGAATCTGGAAATGAGAAACGGAATTGTGGTAATGAGGAGTTAAGTACAGATTCCTTTTTTCCTGTCAGAGGTGACACCTCCCTTATGTTCATTGCATTTGCCTATCAGGGGAAATACTTATAATCATTTGAGCTACATTTATGTAACATTTTATTATTCAAGTACATGTAACCATATGCACTGACCTTTTTAATTTAGCTTTTTCATGGCAGTCATTATTTCTTCATGGAAAAGTGTTATTACCAGTTAATAGTTCCTCTTGATGTCTTTGACAGCTTTTGGCCCATTCTTATATAGGAGGGTTCGAAAAAAATCTAGTGTAGAATTATTATGATTATTATAGTGTTTGACTGTGGAAGGAAGGTCAGTTTGGGAAGTTTTTTTGTTGATTCGAGACATCTAGGTTCATGAAATCAGGATTTCAGTATACACATTCACAAAATTATGTTGTTGTTCAATTATCTGCTATGCATAATTTCATCACACTTTGTATTTTCGCAACATAGATGACAGGATAATTGCAGTACATTTTCATAAATTTGTGTGCATTTGGATCATTGTTGCCAAACTTGGTATTTGCCAGTCTGGCTAATAGAACACTGTTTGGGTGACCAACAGTTAGACAGTGATTATAATTTATTAATTGTATGTTCTTTGGAAAAAATTGGCAAACAAGGTTATGAGTCTCAGAGTAAATTAGTCCAAAATTACAGAAAATGCAAAATGCAAGTTTGTTAATTTAACAGTCGCCTGGTTAGCTCAGTTAGGAGAGTGCTGGTCTGCTGGGCAGGAGGTCGCAGGTTTGAACCCTGGCCAGACCAACACTCAGGGACTCAATTAATAACTGAGAAGTTCTGCCTTTGCAATGACATCTGCAAACGATTAGACTTTCTAGTCTTCTTGAATAAGGATGAAAAACCGTAGGTCCTGCCTTACAGCACTTACACTTATCTGGTTCTTGTGGGATGTAAAAGAACCCACACCACTGTTCAAAAAGAGTAGGGGACTCAGACCCTGGTGGTGTGGCCAACCTTCATACATCATTCACATCATGGGTTGGGTGGGTACGGTGAGCTCATAAATGGACTGATAGTGGCAGCCAGTGGCGCTCTTGTATGCTGATGTCTGAGTTTATTATTATCGTGTTAATAGGTATTGTAAAGAGGATGTGTCTGCTGTTCTCTCATCCATGACTTCTTCCTTCTTCCTTAATTTGATTGTGTTTTGCGAAATAAAATTGTTAGTAGTAGGAATGATAATGACTCCCTGTATAAGAATGGGCTACAAAGTTGACTTGTAATATTTAATAATTAGTTCTACACACTTGGTATATAATTTAGTGTTGACAGTTACAACAATTAGTTATGACTTGTCATTTCATTTGTCCCCATAATACAGTGCACGTTTGTAACACATCTAACGCTTTTTGATCATCAGCTCACTAACTAGCACATTGCTCACCCTGCTGGTTTTGACTTATGTCTTCTCATCTCTAATCCGGCTTTCCTGTTTTCTTCAATGACCAGTGTTCATTTTCTTTTGATTTTCTCTTCTTCCCTTGCATTTCTTTCCTTTCAGACAAGCTTCATCTGATATGCTCACTGTTGCCATATATGTGTTGCAATTGCTTTTCATTGCATCTGGTGTTTTACAATAAAGCTCCTGCTAACTAAATTTGAAAATATATCTATGTCTTAAGCAAATTTTGTGCTGATTCCATACAGTCTTTTTTTCAGTCTGGTTAAAATCTAGAATATCAACAAGGATATGCTGTTGCATGTACTTGCCTTCCATCAGTGCAAATTATCTTGAATTCAATAATGCTCGATCCTTCATAACTGTACATTTGTTGTGGTATTGTTAAGTAGTGGTGGCGATATTATGTAACTTTTTCTTAAAGTTCAATCTGTTTTAAAATGCTGGAAATAATGACAGAATATGGACTGTACATACATGTATACTGAAAACAGCTCGTTACAATTTACAATATTTAAGCACCTGTAATGAACCATTTTTTGGCTTGTCTTTTATACAAACGCTTTCGTAGGGAGACAGTTATGACAACAGCACAGAGTTTTTGCAGCAAGTCAAAGATATATTTCGTTATTTATGTCTGTACCAGACAGTGACTTGACTTATTCATGCTTGTGACATGTCAACCTGTCATTTCATTTGCCAGTTCTGTTGACCTTTTTGTTCAAACTTTCTCTTACTTTAATGCCAAACTAAGCTGTTGTCTGTAGGGGCAGAGCCAAGGAAACATGGCTTTCAACACTGATTTTATCTTCTCTTTTTCGTCGGCCAGTTCTAACATGCATTTTTCTCTTTCTTAAATTTGTTTTGTGTTTGCCTTGTCTTTTTTCTTTTGCATGCTTTTAATTGTTATGGCTCTTATAAATCCTAAAATGTATTCCATTAACTGCGTAATGAAAATGATCCTTAATCAGAATTGTAAGAGTTAAGATCTAATGGAACATATGGCAGTTTAAGTTGCTATTAGTTTTCACTATTTTTTTGCAGTTCCTAATCCAAAGTATAAGTTGGTCAGTGTAAAAGAATAATACATAAAAATGCTAATTTGAAAGTTTTACATCAAATCTGCATGGTGTGATTTTCTAGCTGTTAAATACAACAAAAACAGTATGCAAAACGTTTTTGCGTTTTTCTTTGTAATGAAATAATATTCACCATCCTTGACTTCAATTAAATAAGCATCTAATGTTGCTAAATTAAAATAAATTGCTTTACAGTTCATTGTTAGGTGCACTTTCTACTTGCATGACACTCGTACTTTTAAGTTGTTTTATTATGAAGTGAATTACTATTGATATGAGTCTGTCACTGCATGCTAAGTTATTACCAAATTGTGGATTACTCACACATTTTGTACAGTAGCTTTTCGAAGTTTCTCTGCACCCTACATGAATGGTGAGTGGGGTGTCTTTGCATGTGCTTTTGCATGTCTAACTTAAGCTGGCTGACTGACTATACAGGATGGCTCTCCGAGGTCTATATTCCTGGCTCAGGCATTAAAGTTCCTGGCTCAATTCAGGCTCCTGGTGTGTATATGCTGCTGGCTGCTTCTCTAGATCTTAAACTCTTTAGTATATTCCTACATACGTGTCTGTAACTGCACCCTAAAGTAGTTTATAGGACAGTGTGAGACAATCTATCCCTCTATAATACTCTTCAGAGGTAATGCAATCTACCCTACAATCCTTTGATGTAAAGAGGTACAGTGTAACCCACTATCTACCTGTGTAAGGGAATGTAATCTTCTTCCCTATTCTAATGTGTAAGGGGACGTAATATATCCTACTATAAAAAGGGATTTTTTTTCTACAGCCTGCCCACCTTGTTTGTTGTGTAGCCAGGGGTGTATTAGCTACTCTGATCTACTATAATACTGATTGTGTGGATGGAATCTCCCCTACTATACTACTAACAATGTGGATGAAAACAACCCCTCTATATAACTGTGTCAAAAGATGTAGTCTCCCCTCTGTACTTCTTATTCTGTTAAGGGATGTTAGCTACTTTTCTAAACTACATTATAACTGAATGCAAACCCACCCTCTAGAATTTACCAAATGATGCAATTTTCCCCTCTTGCTATTGCTGTCCAAAGATACTTAGTCTACTCTTGTACACTACTGTCTAAAGGAATGCAATGTACCCTTCTACACGTATGCTACTAAGGGTAATTGATGTTTGTTCACATTACACCTGTAGTTTTCCCCTGTATATTGCTGTGTAGAGGAACACTATGTCCCTCCCTGACACACTGTGAAACAAATAACGCTCTAAGTAACTTTCTGTTGTAGGATGTTTAATTTTATGTATCACAACACGCTGTTCTGTTTAGCACTTTCAATCTGGCTTTATGATCATGAAACTGAACAGAATGTCGTGATTGGTTATTCTTACTGCTATTTCTCTAGAAAAGGCATCTCTTACTAAAAGTTGCTTGCACACTTTCTACTTGTGAAACTGGTCATCTGTCATTCTGCTTTCCCTATACTCTTGTTTTTTTGCTGTTTGCACTTTTCCATGACCTTCTTGCTCGAGTTTGTCTAAATGACCATGCAATACCCATCTGTCACTGCTTTAAAGTTGTTGATAGCAACAATAACACATGTTTTTTCTTTTGAAATAATAATGGGTGCTGTATTTCATATGGTTGTACTAGAGCATCTGCAAATCCTGCTTCTGATATACAGTCAGCCTGCCTGTGACCTAACCAGTGGCGCTGCCTACCGTTCTTCCGACATAGGAGAGCAGAAGCCATTATGGTTTTGACTACTCAGGCATGCCTGAAAAGTTGGCCTGCATTCAACTTGACAGGCATGCTTGTGGTAAAGAGCTGCAATGACTGTTGTTGCTAGCAGGATGTGCATTGTGCTCCCATTTGTCAAAACAGTATCCCAGTGAAACAGGCAGCACATGAGAACCAGTCTTGGGGTTTTTTAAAATGTGCATTATAAGTAATATGGTATATCCATTTTTTAAATAGTCCCAGGTGAGAATGACGGGGTGGCTATGTATATATCACGTGAAAGTGTGCCAGCTGCTTTACCTCAGGGAAATGAACCAATGGAGTGGATCCATTGTATGTTAGTCATTGAGTGGGGATTGAGTGCACATAATATGATTTCAACAGTCAGGTTCCCTGGTTTTCTCCTGTGGAAGTTCCAGAGGGCTGCTCTCCATTCCCATTTGACCAAAAAAGGAAATTGCAGGAAAAATTGAAAAATACTAACAACAATCAAGCAAACAAACATATTTTTGACGAAAATGCTAGCTGCCATTGCAACAGTATAGGGAAGAGATACTAGTTTTGACTTGTTACCTTTATGCTGTTTTAAACCAATGTTCAAGGAGAGTCCTTGGAGCCTGGCTGATCACCCTTGTAGAAAAGTGCAATAATTACTTCACGATAGTGCACTGTAGTCTTAAGAAACAAGATACTGCATGTCACATCAGTTTTAAGCTTGAACCATGCTATTGATCTTTTTATGCTTGAAGAGAAATCAAATAGTTGCATTGACCTTTGAAAGAAAAAATTCAACTTGAAATTGCTTTGAAGCCACGTACAAATCTCCCAAGTTGTAATTGCTCTTGGTTACATTTATGAGGCCTCTCTGTTTTATGGTTTAAGCTTGAAAGTTACTTGTTTTTTGAATAATTATGTATAAGCTTAATACTGTACTCACTTGAAAATTTTTGTTAAATGTATTTGTCCATTTTGTTTTCTTTTGCCTTTTTTTGTTTATTTGCTGGTGATCACTGTGAAACATGTCGGGGTGACATCGGCCTCTGAAGTTCATAAATATCCTGCTGATATTGGTAAATATGTCTTTTGAGTTTAACTCCTGGTGCCTTATGCTGCTTGCTATTGTGTTTCCGTGTTTCAATGATCATTTTGTTTAGAAGTTTGGAAAATGTTTCTTCCTTCACTTCTATGGAAAGTGGTAAGGTGAGGCCAGAATTAAAAATGGAGGCAGTTGTAATTTCATTTTGGCCTTAAAACACTTAAAAACAAACATCTAGATGTGAAAGAACTACTCAAGAAAATTTTGTAACTTTGATGTACAAATTGTTGTTAGGTAGACTTACGTCAAATAAAGGTTGCTTTGTTGCATGACTGCAATGATATACCTTGTGATGAAGAGCCATTAAAATTTTTTCATGCCAAGCAAAGGTCTAAGTTTTAAACAAAACCGGTTTTCAATACAGTGGGCCAAAGTATGAGACATGGCGAAAACACAATGGCAAGTACAAAAAATCATCCATCCTTGTTAGTACAAACGTGGCACAGTATACTCACACTATACTACTTGACGTTCCACTGCTTGTCATACCTGTAGCATCATTGTCTAAGCACGTTGATAATCACTTCAACTACCACTTGTTTTTACTTCAAACTAAGACCCTTCTGGCAGTTTGTGGTTCATTGCATTTATAAATGATAAATCACCTTTACGATCATATGATGCCTTCAATCTAGCAACTCACACAGCACATCAAGGTCACTTGTTTTGTTTATGGCACATTGTTTTACACTTTAATGATTGTTTGATAGACCTGTTGCTACTGTCATACAAATGCATTGTCCTCCATTCCTTCATATAACTCAGCATACAATACCAAACCATATGCTTTGCAACGGTATATTTGAAAACAGTCGTTAAATCGTTTCAACCTTCTACTAGTTTAGCTACAGTAGGAATTAAATTAATTTTTTAAAACTCTCTTTCCACATTGGGTAAGTTAAGTAAACACCATCGCCAACAAACTTGGTACAATTTCTCCCCCACTATACTACTTTCATTCAACAATTTATGATTTCTCAGCCTTTTTTGGACTGAAACCCTTTTCACTCTAGGTGATCAAAATTCCAGAAAAGCTACAACTTTCATTCTTTAAAATCCTTAAAAACAAATTTCACAACACAGAAGGATTACCAAAGAGATTTTTTAAACTTTTTTTGGCCACATTATTCAGGATGTCATCTATAGACTCAAAAGTAAGAAGAACATACTAAAAAGAAGTACTGAATGAAAGTACTGCCAAAGTGGTAGATACCACAGACCAAAAGTTGGAGCTTCATTCAATTTCTCAGCAATAGAGAACTTTTCCAACTTTTGACAAGCACCAGTTAGGGAAAAACTGTCGTCACTTCCGGAAAGAGCGCCTTCAAATTAAACTTGCTAAGTTTGAAAGTGATACATCTTAAATGAGTGAACAGATAGCTCCTCAGGCAAGTTTGTGCCCCTCACCTTATATACAAACGTCACTCTGTAAATTAGTGACTTTGAGGAGCTATATCTTCATTAATATCATAGGTGACGAATTACTCCTTAATTTGGCGCGAAATTTCAGTGTTAATTTGTAATTTCACATGTGAAATTACAAAATTGCTATGGGAACCTTCTGTACGTCTCAGTGTCAAGATGGCGACAAAGTTTTAAAAAGTCATGAATAAAGATGTCAGGGCACAAAAAGATGCTTTAGAAAACCTGAACACACGAAAGAGCACATCAAGAAGGATTCTAACAGGTATTTTGTCGAAAAACTCTGAACTTAAGCCAAATTTAAGTGCTAAACGTTCGAGAGAGTGCAGCTAGGGGTTCTCGATTGATACGATCGAGAATAATAATTTCCCTTGCCTAAAGGCTCGGGAAATTATAAGGATTTGGACAAAACGCATGTGAAATTATTCCCTAATTTCACTCGTCACCATTTGATTACACATACTAATTTTCAACAAATCACCTATACAAATTGGCAGTTTTACTAATTTAAAAGGGCTCTTTCGAGCGTAGTTGACAGATTTTCCCTAACTTGTCCATGTCAAAAGTTGAAAAAATATGTGGAAAGGTCTATTGACTGTGGGAGGGAAATTGTTGACAAGGATTCAGAAGCAAATGCACCAGATATTGGAAGGTTGGCACTTGTGCTGCACCCCTCCATGATAAAACATTGCGGAGTCTTCCATGCATGGAAAGGTAGTCATAAGTGTATACTTACAGTCATGCTGTCTTGAACCAACAGCAGCTCAGAATCACAATTAACATACATATACTCTTACAAGTGCCAAAACACTTTAATTTCATTTCACCCAGAAATTAAGCCCCAGTTCATTCCCTGTAAATAATAATAACACTTTTTTGATGCTCTCTAAGATTTAGACAGTAGAAGCAGTGTTATTCTTGCATGATATTTTATGTACAAATGCATGTTGTAGTTCTTCCAGGAGTTAGATTCACTGCTGTAAGATTGCATTTTCTCTTTCACTCCCTTGATATTAATTTACACGTAGCTGTTTTGAACTTTAAAGGTTATAAAAGTTCGTGGTAAGTGTGGGTTAATCTTAGTCACCATTTTGGCAGCCTTGCCACTCACAGAAGTTGAACTTGTTATGGATGAGTTAGTGTCAGCCCTTCAAGCTCTCTTTTGAAGCAGAAATGCTTAAGGAGTTTAATTACAGCTTTTATTGAGGGCCTACTGAGACAACTAAATTTAAATACAGGACAAAAAACGACATAAATTATAGCTGTATTTTTGGGATATTCAGTCATTCATGATAATGTCCTATTTTTATAGCTCTTAAAGACTGTGAATAGACCCTTCCTAAAAACGGGTTTTGCAAATTCTTTTCGGAAGTTTTTTAGTTCTTTCAATGATTTGAAGTCTTTGTCAGAAAACAGAATTGTTTTCATTCCATCAGACCTGATTTCATATTTTAAAATTTTAAATGTTTTACTCATACTGAAATGCATTTTCCTGTCTTATGTAATGTGTTTTGTAAACTTGAAATTAAGTGCAACCTCACCAATTACATGGCCATCAAAATCATGAATCTTTGCAAAGATCTGAGTCACGGGAATCAGAGAGTTCAATTTGATTTTCTGCTCATTCTATTGATTTTCACATTTCTTAGCCTGCGAAAGCATCCGTTTCTCCTTCGCTCTACGAAACGTCCCCAGCGGCGTAGAGCGAAGGAGAAACGGATGCTTTCGCAGGCTACACATTTCTGGAAGTTTGAGGGAGTGAAAGAGTCATTTGTTAACCTCTTTTTTGCACAATATTAATTTCATTTGCACACACTTTTGCATGTTGCATGGCACACTAACTGCATGGCATTGTTAGAACTGGCTGACTGAACCAATTGGCTAATAACTGTTTTGAGTTCGTTAATTTGACAAGCAGCTGGACTAGGCTTTTGGACAGGAATTCAGCATGCATGTTTAACAACGTACTTGTATGTGGTGTTGTAACGAGTGACTACTACTTAATTTGATGTTACCTATACCATCTTATTTACATATTACCACTACATAGGTAGTGATTTGTTTGATTTTCCCACTTTCTTGGCCTTGAGAAAAAAGGAAATCCATTCATCCCACTTTGAATGTACATCTTTTTTCCAGCGGAGAAATTTAGAGTATATTCCATGCTTGTTCCAGGTTTAATTTAGAGTGATAGATGGGTCTGTGTGTGAGTTTGGATGTTGTTCTGAAGTTAGTCTAAATATCTAAAGGTAGTCTGAATAACTGTGTTAAATTACCTACAAAGTTCGAGGTAAAAGTTGTTTCAGGTGTCAGACTTTTGGGCGTAGATATAGTTATCAGAATTGCAGTTTTGTTCAGAAGATGAATGACTCCACTTAGCTACATGAGTTGTTATTTGGGGTTCATGGAGGTGTTGGAGTTTGCATGTTTGAGTTGTGCTTGTTAATTAATGTTTCTAGGTTTCATGCCAACATTTGGCCCATGTTGGGTAAACCTTTATGGATCTACCAGAGACTACTCTCTGTTTGATGAACACAATGATCTTAACAATGGATTGGTAAGTGTTTTAGGTCCACAACCCCTGTGTTTGTGTAATTTTCAAAACTTAATGCAGTGTATTTGCCTTCAGAAAACAAGGTAGTATTAGTTTCTTTGTCAAGTTGCAATCGACGTTTTGAATAGTTCTTTTTATTCTGTGTAAATGGGAAGGGGTTAAGCAGTTATTTTTTGCAGCTATGGTCAGCATTTACCTGAAATTAAGACTTAAAGCAGCACACATAGATGTTTGACAGATGAAATTCCAGGATGTTGGTTGGTCAGACATCAGATTTGTGGCTTCACATGCCAATTGTTAGGGAGCTTGAACATTAAAATGCAGCTGCATCATTTTTTTAAACTTCATCATTCGCGGTTGTCAAAACTCGTTAAAGTTGGCAAATAAACAAAGATTTTCCTAAGCTAAACCCTTAGGGACTGCTCTCTAACTGAGGAAAAGAAAGAAAAATGTTTCTTTGCATGAGAAAATGTCATGTAGAAGTACATATAAATTAGTGACGCAAATGAAGTGCACCAAAGTGTGTATTCCATGTGCAGAGCTTTTGATTTTGTGACGTTCTCATTCACATGATGATTGTAGTCTTGCTTGAGCTCCTTACTATGAAAAGCGGGAAGGCATATAAACAATATACTAAAAAATATAAAATAATTTACCGTAAAATTCCGAAAATAAGCCCCGGGGCTTATATTTTTCAAAGGTCCTTTTTGAGGGGCTTATATTCGGAGGGGCTTATCTATGAAAGGCAATCGATTGGGCTAGCCTTATAGTTGGAAGTAAATTTACCATTGTTGCTTTGTTTCACTTTGTATTTGAGCGCAATTTTCCAAGTACAAGCCCCCGGGGGGCTTATATTAAGAGGGGCGATGTAAAGGAGGGTTTTTTTGCGTTACCGGATTGGGGGGCCTATATTTGGAGGGGCTTATACATGGAGGGGCTTATTTTCGGAATTTCACGGTATATGATGAAGATATATAAACTGTAGAGCCAAAATTATTTGCCGACAAATGTATGGTGCAACATGTTTAACTAATCAGGGATGTCCACTGATGTCCATGCTGCACTTTTGTTTTTTAGGGAGAGGGGGTGGCATACAGAGGGAGACTTCTGATGGCAGTACAAGCGGAATTTGGAGAATCTGCCTCTGAATCAGGCATTCGACAGGTGGAAGTAGAGCCTACTGCACCGATCTCTGATGTAAGTTTACTGAATGTTATTTTGAGCTGTTTTTATTCTTGGAACACACCTGTTAAAGGACGGGAAGCATCCTTTTGACTGGTACATGTGTTAGTGTCTGATGCCAAAGTCATGATCCTGCAAGAGAACCCAACGTAGGATCTTCGTTTGGTTAAACTAAGATTTGATGAACTTATTCAGAATAAAGCAGTCTAAGTGAAAAACTCTTTGTGTGAAACATCTAAAGATATTTCCACAATTTAGGCCTAAAAGCCCACAACACGCCTTGTTTACCCCCTAAAACTTTGCATCAGAATTGTCTTCAGTTTCTCCTCGGTATTACGTAATTTTCTGGATATTGGCAGTTAGTAGGCGGGGATTTGAATACGAAGGAAGTTGTTTTAGTTATTGTTTACTAAGAAAGTTGCGAGAGGATCATGCTCATAGAAGCCACGGAAAATCCCTGGCACCTGCAATTGATAAAAGTCATGTTAGGTCGTCCCAGGAGGAAGCTAAAACAGTGCTTATGCTAAATTTTTGAGAGTAAGCAAGGGTTATCACGGGCAACGTGAAAGTGGCAAATGATATGTTGACCTACTTGTCGATTGTTTTTCGAAATAGTTTTTGAAAAGACCTTTGATATACAGTAGAGCTGAGTTTTCTAATATTTGGCGTAAATTGTTGTAACATTATCTTGCAGTTTCTGATTAAAAACTGTCTCCAAGCCTTCTCTTAATGAGAAATCGTAGTCACTAGACTTACTTTCAAAGATACTCCTTTATGGTCTTTCATTTAAATTTTTGGCGTCTTGAATTGTGACTTCCCTAATAGTTGTGACCATGCTTGTATTTATAGACCGCAGCAGGCAAGGAGGATCAGTTTCAATTGTTTGCTTGTTTCTATGAAGCTAGCATGATTGAGAGGAAAGTTGGAGACAAGATGATACAATTTGAAATGAGTATTGGTAAGTGTAGAAATGTTGCTCTTTCGTTTAAAATACCATAGTCATGATCTTCTTCTTAGAGGGTGTGTAATGACATATGTTAGTCATCTATGATATTCAAACCTGTTGACCAACAACAACATCAACAAAAAACGTGATCGTAAGGATTGTAAACTTAGACCTGTAGATAATTGTGTCGTACAGTTGAGATGGTTTTGGCTTTTCCAGAAGCTTTGGTCATATGATGTTCGAGGAATGCGATGTTTGAGGTCATAGTTCATAGTTCCTTGTCATGCGTTTTATACATGAGTCTCCGGGCAACCCTATCCCACGCTATGACACTAATAAATTAATTGATTGATGGATTATGACACGAGAAACGTGACCTTTTCTTCTTTCTTAGTATTGAACTCTTGCATCTAATCTTTTCATGATTTGTATCAAACCATTTTGGTTTGGATCAAACCAAAGTTTATCAATGCACCATTATACAACGGCAAAGTATCCACAAGGAAAGTTGTTTCCACAGATCAAATAATTATTTTAAACTATAATTTGTTGTGCTATTGACTATTCAGGTAATTTTGGCAACACAATTGATGGACAAGCTTTGCCAGGTGAGGTGGTGGATGAGGTGAGAAGAAATGGTGAGAATCCATTCATTCATCCACTGACCCCACCTGTGAAGCCCGTAACCAATGACAGACAGTACTATCACATCCCATGGGAGGATTCCAAGCCATGCACACACATCAAATTCACGTGGCAAGACCATCGTAGACGACTCTACAACTCTAATGTGCTGCTGAAGATCTGTGAGAGGCTGGTGGGTAGTTTGTTTCAATCATTCAATTAATCCTTTAAGTTGCAAGACATCATCTAGAGAAAATGTTGTGAGAATTAGTGAAATGATCATCTGATGGGAAAAGTTTTGATCAGCAAACAAATTCTCTCAACCAATTTTTTAAGGAAATGTATGGAGATCAGTCTGGAGAATTTGTATTTGAATTTTGGGGCTTGAAGAGTTAACAAAGAGTGAGTGAGTGGGTGAATGAGGTAGGCGGTCAGTCGATCGACCAATCAATATCAATCACTGTATTTGCATTTGAACTGGAACTCAACCCAAAGAAGTAATTCATGAGAATTTGTGAACTGCACGGCATAGAGTGCTTGCTAAGAAAGTGTAGCCACACACATGTAATGCGACTGAACCTCAAAGGCGACTTTTGTCAATCAAATGAGAGTAGTTCCCCACCGATCCTACCTTTTATGGTGACTGGTATCTGAAAGGCTTGCTTTTATCCGTTCCAGTAGTCTGTACTTAATTATAAATGACATATTGCTGTGAGATGTCTGCACACTACTTGACTAGCCTAATTCATTTCGGAAATGAATATCGCAGTTAAGGAGTTCGAGTTCAGAGCATTGTGGTGTTTGAAGGGAAGAGGTACCCTATGTACACAAATGCTACAATCATGATTTTATCATGACAGGAGGATGGCTTGACGGATTGTCTTGAGAGAGTGAAGATGGACTTGCCCAATACTTACAGATGGCTCAGTAGAGTCCTGGCTGAACTTATCAATGGCTGCAAGTAAGTGATTGATCCTTTTACCGTTATCCCTCTCATAAGCCCATCGTTTAGAAAAGAAAAGCTATCACGCCCGCCCCTTTCCTCTCCTAGCTCTGCTCTTTTCCCTTCACAACAAAGTTAGCAGATGCCTGATCTGATGAATGAATACGGTCAGGTCTGTTGCTTGCACTTATCAGAATGTTATACAGTAGTTGGCATCTCTCTAATCTCTATGACAAACAGTCATTTCCTTATCCAAACATGAATTATAGTTAGGTACCATGCCTCTAGTCCCTATAAGTTACATTCTGCTACCAGTATTGAGTCGCGTTAATTTGAAGAGCTCCCTTTTACCCTCTTCCAGTAAGTCGCCTGGTCCTAACTTTCTCTAAAAGTTACTCTCTAAAACGTTCTTGAAAATAATACGCCCATATGCGCCCACTATCATAACTCAAACTTCTCCTCGCCAATTTCCTCTGATAGTTTAGTAAAGGTGGATTGTCGAATGTTCTGTCCACTTGATTCATCTCTATCCAGGATAACGCAATTGGTTTCCCTTGCACTATCTACCTTTTAAACAGTCGGGCCAGGCGCGTAACTGCTTTGTATTCATTGTCTACAGCCAGTACCTCAATTTAGTGAAGTCAATGCCATCTGCTGGTCATGTGGGACGCACCAAGCTGGATAAAGAGAGGCTGAAGCTGTGCCAGTATGAGGTAGAATCTGTCTGTCAGTCAGCTCAGGAGCTAAAGGGAAGCACCAAGGATGATGGACACATCAAGGACAATCTCAAAGCAGCTAATGCGCTGCTTCAAAGACTTCTGAACATTGCTATTGAGGTATGTGTTTTTCTAGAGTATCTCTAGTCATTGTTATCAGACCAGTCGCTTAGAAGCTTTGCGGCATTTATTTTGTTTGCGCAACCCGAGCTTCACCTCGACCGATCATTTCTTAGAGTTTCTTATTTGTCCCGTTACTGTTTGCTCTATGGGTCTTGTCTTTTTTTGCTGCATTGAAAGCAATCGCACAGCTGAACGGGTACATCTGAAATATAAAGTAATGCAGGACTTGCAATCGTACAATCCCCATGACTAAAGAGTTGTAAATATATGCCACTTTGATTTGTAGCCACAAGAAACCACTCCTGATGTGTTTATCTGGATGTTGTGTGGCGGCAAAAGAGTGGCTTACACTCGCATTCCAAGTCAGCATATTGCCTACTCACTAGTTGAGGAAGAGAGAGGGAAGGATTCAGGCAGGATGCAGACTGTGTTCCTCAGAGTAAGTTTTTGATAGCCTGTAATGCAGGCGTATTTAGGAGGGGGTGGGGGTTTTGGGGGCGAAAGCTGCTTCACTACGTGCGTAATGCCGTGCCCGTCATCTTTGCCCTTATTACTGAGGAAGATAAGAGAGTCGTACAGAGTGGAGTGGCAACCTCCTTCCCAGGGTTCTCTCCTACCTGTCCTGGGAACGAGGTTGAATGGAGTGGGTGTTAGGGCAACAGACAGAAGGAGTCCCTCTCCCCGCTTATCTCCCCGCCCCCTTGGACTCGCCCCAACTCCTCCACCTTTTGGAATTCAACAAAAAGAGTTTACTTAAACAGAGAGAAGAAAATACCTGCAATGCAGGGTTAATTGTATTCGCATATGAGGTATTCTCTGGTTTTATTGCCCATCCACTTTCACTAAAACAGATGTCCACCCGACTAGCGAGAAGTGCATCTGACCAATAGCAAGAAGTCTTGCCCGTACAATTCCTTTGAAACAGCTGTCTTCTTATGGTCGATGGTGGGAGGGTACTTTCAAAGTGACATAAAATAGGAAAAATCGGCGTCATAATAGCATAACTGACATCATTACATAACACAACATACGTAATGATAACTAAACTGAGCGGGAAGGAAATTTGGTCTGGAATCATGCGCGTGATTTCAAATCGCGCGTTCGTTCGACACGAAGTTCGATTACCACTTTATTACATCCATTTCGAAATCACGCAATTAAATCGTCTAGTTGTCTTGAACCCTTCAGTGTATTATAGATGTGCCCGCTAAGAATGTGTTGACCGTAAATATATTGGGGAATTTTAAAAATTGTTTTACTTATATTCCTCAGCTTCCAGGCAAGCGCGGTGACGGTCCAAAAGGCTGGGCAATCCAGGCAAAGTTAAATATCATGATCTGGCTTGGTCTGCACAAACACAAGAAGGACTATCTCAAGGATGCACCTAAAGGATACCAAACGGTAAAATAATGATTAAGAAGTTCGTCTTCTTAAATATACTAGGCTTATTTAGCAACAGAACGGGGACGTCATTTGGCGACGGGAAATTGCGCAGAAAGGACTAAACTCGACTTCCGGTGCCTAATTTACCGCTCTGCCATTGGTCAAGCCAGTTGTTTGATTTGCGCGCGCCGTCGTCAACGGACGTCCCCTAAAGAAGACATAGGATCAAGGCTCTTTTTTGCACTGAATGGAGTCCTTGAAAAATGGGGAATGTGTCCTTGAAAGTCCTTGAATTTTCTGTTCAAAAAAAGGAACGAACCTCGTTGCTCACCAAATCCATCGTGGGTATTTGCTTTTTTGGTTTATTAATTTGTGGTGATATCCTCCTTTCAGCCAAAGAATGCCCACAAACTGATGGCTCCCCCGCCAAATCATCTGATCTACACAGGTAATATTTATCTACACATACCGGCTACAGTTGCTCTCGCCTTCTTTTTTGATAACATCTTGACCGATGAGAAGTATCAGCAACCCTGAATGTTTTTCCTCTTCGTTTTTGTTTTAGAGAAGCAAAAGTTTATTTTGCGGGCGCATATTTACCAGGCAAGAAGCTTAATCGGTAGTGATGCTTCAGGACTTTCAGGTTAGTGATGTTTTCAATGCCTTTGACGCTTTCAGTGCAAACTCGTTCAACAAAGAAGTGGAATCACTGTAGTTGATCTATAATCAAACATCACTGTGTTGTTGCGCTGTGTTTCCTTTACACTTTTAAGTGGTTATATGCATGGCAAAGGGTTGAACTTGGGTTAGGTGACGTGCTGACTGACGCTAAGGAGTAAGTAGCGGAACAAGAATGTCCCAGTACACTGAGGTATCCATAACAACTCAGACATGGCCCAACACACAGGAACCTGTCTCACTCAGTTGTATAGCAGACAAACTGGCAAGGGATGGGGATACGAAAGGATACGCCTCGAGCTAGTTGAAAGCAATCCGCGACTAACAGCAAATGCAAGCATAATAGTGTTGGCAGGCGAGACATTATGCTGAGTTTACCCTGCTGCTTAGGGCGCTCTGCACATCTATGCAGGCAATAACCGCTGACGTTCAAATGTCTCGAGTTTAACTGTACTTAAATAGCATTTAGCCCCAATTAATTTGATGTTTGAGTCAATCTGTCATTGATCTGAAATTGCATAAAACTGCATCACCTACAACCCCAGACAAAATAGTTGTTGGGACACTAGGTCGATTTCCCCTGCCTCCCCCTTTGCAAAGTTGAAAATACCTCAAGCTTTCCCAGACTGGGCTTTCTACCAACACTCGAGGGGGCGAGGGGACTTAACTGTGTATGCCCAAAAAATTGGAAATGTGCCTGTTTTTTTTTTTTTTTGACCAGGGTTGTAGCTTCTTTTAACTATTGCCTTGTTTCTTACATGAAAGCTTGAAATCTTTAAATAGAGGTTTAAAAGAAAGTCCCTAATTAATGACTGTCTTGGCCCTTTGATAGATGCCTTTGGGCGCGTGATCTTCACGCACCTTGTGGCCGATACACGCGTGATCTGGGAAACAAGGAGTCCAACCTGGGACCAGATGCTGATGTTCAAAGATCTAATTTTGTGGGGAGATGTAAATGAAATCGCTGTGAATCCTCCCACGATTGTGATTGAAGTATTTGACAAGGATATTGGGGTATTGAATTCAATGTATTGTTTAGTAGCACTATAAATACAAAGAACCGCACAAAATTGTGCCATGCAGAGGTGAAGATCGCTTTGTCTTTACGTCAGCCCCTAGGATTAGTGTACTTGGGTTCTTTATTTTCAATCAAGTTCTCAACCCCTTTTGACGTTACAAAATGTTCATTAAAATCTTGTACAATCAACTCTCGCCTTGTGGACACCCTGTTATAACGGATACCCCGATGATAAGGACAGCAGCTAAATCCCACCCAAAACTAATTTATAGCTGTTTGAGTGAAATCAACTGTCGCTATTACGGACACTCGCTAATGAGGACACCAGCTCAAGGTCCCTACAGTCTCCGCTGTAAAGAGAGTTTACTGTACTGGGAAGTGGTACCACGCCCTCGTCCTCGTACCCAGGGTCCTCTCCCACTCTTCCCCCGGGGAGCACCCTGGGAAGGAGGTTGCCACTCCCCTTAAATTGTTGAAGTCAGACTATAACGTTCCTCATTGCCTTGGCCTCTTAACTCCCTATATTATAAAATGTGTCACTTGCGTTCACAAGGACACATCGTTTAACGCAACCAAACCATAGTGAAAACTTATAAGCCAGTCGCTCAGTGGCAGGCGTGTCATTGTTCCGTGAAAATCTGAAGCCAACACTTACTGGCGTCACTTAGCGCAGAAAAATGCGTGTAAAAAACTTCAAAAACTTTTATTTAGTTCTGATTGGCCGGGAAAGGGGCGCCAGATATTTGTGCCAATCACAGCGTTGGACGCAAAGAAATTGCGAACTTACCTTTGTTACTCAATTCAAAAACGCCTTCTCTTTCTGCTTGTTTTACCCAGGGTGACTCAGAATTTATCGGCCGCGCCTTGGCCCGCCCAATCGTCAAAATGGCTTGTGAACCTTACGAGAAGCCATTCTTTCCACCCGCTTTGGAATGGTTCCAGATCTTCAGAGGGGAGGAGAAAGCAGGAGAACTGCTGGCAGCATTTGAACTTCTTCAGGTTGGTTGGTTAGACCTGTTCAGTAGGTTGTGGGTTTCATGTAGAAAGATGCAACCCATACAACATCTAACATCTTAAAAATTTGTTAAATAAGTGTTAGCGCGTTCCACTGCGTCACCCTTGTCTTCCTTAATAAGAGTAACATTGATGACCCAGTATAGTTTTGTAAAATTCAGTAACCCATCACTTGGTGTGTTTTTAAAGAGATCAAGCATTCCACGATTATCGCTCATTACCCTTCTAGCAGAGGTTTCTTTCCAAGGCGGTTTTTAGCCTGTACGAAGTCGTTCGCGCCGCTGACATTCGCGTAGTTGGCTTGTGTACGTCACCGAAGGTGGCGTCTCTCTCTTTTTGTTTACGCTCTCGTGCAGCGGCGTAAACGACTGTAAAACTGCGTTTTAGAAGGTAGTTACATAATGGTCTATCCTATTCTGCATACCTTGCCTGTTAATGCTCTGGTTAAAATCCTGGCCTTAAAATAACACATGAGGTTAATCTTTTTTAATTCACGTTTTGTTGAAATCATACGTGTACACTTAACTGTTTCAAGCATATTCCAAAAGCATCGCGTTTTTTATACGAAGAGCGGTGTTTAAGACTGTTGTTTCTTTGTCTTCTTTTTAGTTATCCGAAGGTACATGTTTCTTGCCGACTGAAGTGGAGCCTGTTAACACTCCAGATGGACCAATAACCCCTGTACCAGTAGGAATCAGGCCTGTAATGAGGAAACACAGGATTGAGGTACTGAATTGTTTTCGTTCGTCGTGGACGCGTGAGCTGACAAATGGTCAAAACATTGGCTGAACCCAAAAATAATTTTGTTCTCTGAGTCAATTCACCTTTCCTCCCGTTTACCTACCTCTCTGATAGATTACAGCTAGGTGGTGTCATATTTCATCTATAACCCTTCTATCAAACACCGGGCACAGTATTCCATCATATATCAAACCCCCGAGAAGAGAGTTGAAATTAGGATTGAGAGAAGCCGAGTTTTCGTTGTCACGTACTTCGATGTGTTTTGGACGTGGTGACACACTGCGTCAAGTATTTGATAAAACCTCTCGAACAAAGCGATATTTGAAGAGAAACTGCAGGATGCTAACAGGAAGAACTTACTGTAACCAACTCAGCCCATGATATACACTACGCCACCGGCGGAAACGTGCACCACTGTCTTCGAACAGCAGTGTGGGTCGTTTAATGACCCCTTCCAATGACTTGACGGGATTACCTGAACTGAGACAAGATCTTTAAGACCGCCTAAAGACCCTTGCAAGATATTTTATTAACCCTGGTCTCACGCGGTTAGCGTACTCACGCGTGATGACGGCTCTAGTTAACGTCACCTTCTTGTAAGTGTAGCTAGTAACACCATGTAATTAACGTTCATGATTTGTTCATCAGGTGTTGTTCTGGGGTGTGCGTGAGATGAAGAGGATCAATCTGACCACTGTTGACCGACCCCAGGTGGACATCGATCTTGCTGGTCATGTGATCCAATCAACTGTTATTGCCAATGCTAAGAAGAACCCGAATTTCCAGAACCCGGTCATTTTCTTTGACGTGGTAAGGAAGATGTTTTATCGTTCAAGTAGTACTTTTGCTGATGCCTCTATTGGTGAAATACAAGGGGTAGCAGCGACAATAGAGAAGAATGACTGGTTGTACAGGGTGTTGGATTCTATATAAATTATCCCTGAAAAGCCCTGAGGGAAGTGGAAAATAGGATCAATTGACAATCTACAATTTAAGGCTGTAGTATATTTAGTGTTATCATTTTGTGCTGGCTAACATATTTCAGTAACACATTTCAGTACTACCGATATACACTGTTTCTCAAATTATCAAATTCAATACCAAACGTTGTGCTGTTGACTTCTGTGAAAACTGGACCACACAATTGTCATCTTACCTTGGTGTATTCTTTTCCCAAACCCGAATTATGAGAACCGAAGTAACTCGTTTGTGAGTCAAAGTTACTTTTTAAGTTAAAAGAGCTCACACTGTTCTTTCACAGGAACTTCCAGAGAACGAGCGTTACTGCCCACCGCTGACCATCCGTGTAAGGGACTGTCGTACATTTGGTCGGTTTACACTAGTTGGTACGCATGTGCTAAACTCGCTTCACCGCTACTTACAGACTGGAGAGAAAGAGAAGGAAAAGCTTGAGAAAGCAGGTGAGACGAATCAGACATTCTAATAATAATAATAATAATAATAATCCTGATGAAAATTTATCATAATTCCTTTGTGAAATTCAGTCGACCGATACAAGTTACCACACGAGGAGACAATTGCTTACAAAATCGTCAATACTAGTTACTCCTTATTCAATAAATATAGTGATACATACTACATAAGCTATCAATAAAAACAGTTCAAAAGGATGTCTTATGGCTCTTTGACTAACGTTCAATTGTGCAGACGAAGTCCTAAATTGTGACCATTGAACAGCTATATTCTTGTGTTATTGCACAGGCGGCCCAAACTCACGTTGCGTGGGAAGGGTGAATGTAATTTACATAACATATGTGACGCGCTGGTGTCGCGTTACAGGCGACCGTTTAAAATATAATTATAAGAGACTTTGTATGGGAAATATATTACTGAGATCTGCGAACGCTAAATAACGCTAAACCTTACTTTTTCTTAAATGAAATGAATAAAAAAGTCTTACCTGCAATCTATTCCGCTGCGGTTTGGTGTCTGTTTGTCGTTTTACTGTTTTTTTGGCTTTATTGCGTAACCACTGTTACTCCTTTCATAGAACGAAGTGAAGGCTGGTCACTTCCATCTGTCGGGGTCCTGGACCAGTCGCCAAAAAAATGCCGTTTTTTTCGCCGAAATTCAAATCCGCTGCAAATTTTTCAGCTCCAGCCCAAGAAGGAAACCTCTTCTTCCTCTCTGAGAGATCGGCTCGAAAAAAAATCCATAATTTCCCCATCAAATCGAGCCATTTGTGCTGGACTTCGAGGCAAGTCTGGCTTTCGTGCAGTGCCTGTGACCACTGTCGCGCTTACCAAGGTTTCCAATTTCAAATGCAAATTAGTTGCCAGGGTGACAATTAGCACTTAAGCGGCGGGTGCAAGGGCAGAAATGACCCGTTAACTAGGCTCCTCGCCCCACCACGCCAAGGGAGTAATAAGACGCTCGTGCTATGTGAGGGATCGCGTGTCCAGGTAGGCAACGATTCTATTTTCGAATTGCGGTACATGTAACGGTTGATAACAAGAGTTTACAACGGAAAATGTAGTTTTTCATATATTCCAGTATGCTATCTACTTTGAAGAGGTTGAGATCTGGTGACGATTCCGATGTAATTCCCTTCAAGAAATCTAGGCATGGTATTCCCTTTGGATTTTTTCGACGGAATGATTCCTCACTAATAGAAAAAGGAATAACCTATTCAAAGCTTGGTGTTGTGCATCGAATAATACACTCCATTCATCATCTCGCTGAAACATACTCCCGTTATTATGATCCTTTCGTTGCCTACCTGGACACGCGATCCCTCACGTAGCGCGAGCGTCATATTACTCCCTTGGCGTGGTGGGGCGAGGAGCCTAGTTAACGGGTCATTTCTGCCCTTGCACCCGTCGCGTAAGTGCTAATTGTCACCCTAGCAACTAATTTGCATTTGAAATTGGAAACCTTGGTAAGCGCGACAGTGGTCACAGGCACTGCACGAAAGCCAGACTTGCCTGGAAGTCCAGCACAAATGGCTCGATTTGATGGGGAAATTATGGATTTTTTTTCGAGCCGATCTCTTAGAGAGGAAGAAGAGGTTTCCTTCTTGGGCTGGAGCTGAAAAATTTGCAGCGGATTTGAATTTCGGCGAAAAAAACGGCATTTTTTTGGCGACTGGTCCAGGACCCCGACAGATGGAAGTGACCAGCCTTCACTTCGTTCTATGAAAGGAGTAACAGTGGTTACGCAATAAAGCCAAAAAAACAGTAAAACGACAAACAGACACCAAACCGCAGCGGAATAGATTGCAGGTAAGCCTTTTTTTATTTATGTCCTTTAAGAAAAAGTAAGGTTTAGCGTTATTTGGCGTTCGCAGATCTTAGTAATATATTTCCCATACAATGTCTCTTATATTTTCACCCGGGGGGGGTACTCCCATACATTACCTATACGGGTATGTGCCGCCCAAAGGGGTCGTGATTTCGAAACTCCTGATTTAGAACGGGGTATCCATTTCAGAGGCGTTTTATAGAACGGGGTATAATATTTCGAACGCACGAAAGCTCCGCTTTTGTAAGCAGCCACTGAAAGTATTCAAGGACAGATTGCCTTTAAAAATACGGTTCAATGCGTTAACAAGCAAACCGTTGTACTCTTGTTGCACCCTAGAACGGAGTATAAAAAATTGGCCCATTTCTAGAACGGGGTATCAGTTTTAGGGCGAATTCTAGAACGGGGTATAAAAAATTGGCCCATTTCTAGAATGGGGTATCAATTTTAGGGGAAATTTTTTCTAGAATGGGGTGCCATTTTGGAGTCCCGGGCGGCACATACCCACCCAAAAAATACCCAAGTGCCCCCCCCGGGTATTTTCAACGGTCGCCTGTAACGCGACACTGGCACGTCACATATGTTATGTAAATTACATTTCACCTTCCCTCGCAACGTGAGTTTGGGCCGCCTGTGGTTATTGTTTATTTTGCACGGGGCGGTTTTACTTAATGATTAGTCTGTGGTTGAAAAAAAAAAGTGTTTAAGTACACTTCCCCTTAGCTCTGTGTTGAAAAAGAAATATTAATATCGTGCTTTCTTCACACCATCATCCTAAATCCTGAGAGAATTGACATCATGAATCAATGGGAGTAATAATGTATCAATCTTTATGTTTACGTTTTGTCGTTTACTTTGGTAACTTAAAAGATCTGTGTTAGTTGTAACCGTGCCTACATAACGTTATGTCCTTTTGCTGAACCAGTTCAATTGGATTTTAAGTACTTTGAGGTGCTAAGCGTTTAACTATTATGTTTGTGTCTTTACACACAACAGAGGCTGTAGCCGGTGGAATAGCAAATGCTTCCCGTCCAACATCACCAGTTCCCACCCAGGCTGCTGATGTTGCCATTGAGATTGATGAAGATCCTCCTGATGCAGACTCAGAGCCTCTGGTAAGCTTTAGATGTTAATTATATTACTGATCGTCTTGGATGTGTTCTAATATCCCATCTCTAAAAGACCTTTCCCGCATCCCTGTAAACAAAGGCACCAACTCGAGGCTCGGGTGGACAAATACAGTGATTTGTATGAAATTATCCATCCGAGCCTCGTTCTCATTTCTTTATAGGCTGATTTAGCAACACGACGGGAACGTCAGTTGACGACGGGAAAGCGCGCGAAAAGAACTAAACACGACTTCCGGTGCTCAATTTGCCGCTCTCTCATTGGTCAAGCCAGTTTGATTTGCGCGCGCCTTCGTCAACTGACGTTCCCGTCCTGTTGCTAAATCAGCCTTATGTTTGCGCACTGGAGCGTAATGTGGGAAAGGTCTGTAGTTAGGACACAATAGGGTGTTGAAGCAGCGACGTTTTTGAGTGACGCACTTCAACCGGAAGTGAGCCTTTTTCTCTTTTAATATGCCTCAACGCTACCAAATTTGTATTGCTAAGTGTCGTTACTCTTAAAGAGAAGATTTGCCTTAAATCTTGTTTAAAATCACGGCTCAAGAGTGCAGTAAGTCAACTTCCGGTTGGCATGCGTCGCTCAAAAACGTCGCTGCTGAAACTCCTTAATTTGCCGAATAGACCTTCACTCACTCAACTGCTTTCGTAATTTCGTCTTTATCAGGTTACTGTCCTTTTCATGCAGTATAATTTCTCTCCTTTGCTGTTTCCTTCATGTTTGTCTTTAGATTGAGATGTGTGGGGTATATTATAAATGCCATACGGTCCTGCTTTATGAGTCTGGTCATGTCATATTGCTTACATGTATATCCATATCTTTCTTTTCTTTCCCATGCTTGTGTAAAAACTTTCTTTACTCCTTTCCACTATGATAAGGGATTAATCAGGTGAATCTAATCTCGCAATGCCTGCATTCTGTTCTCTGTTATTTAATCAACTTCTTTCGACATTCATTTTCGTCTGTTCTCTTTCTTACGTTGCCTTCATCTGCATCACCACAGCTGTATCTCTACTCACAGAAGGTAAGACCATCATCGTCGTGTTTTTTTTCGTTGGGATGTATGGACGAGTTATTTTTTTCCATACCCAAACATGCCTCAGCGGTGTTAATAACTATTTATGGCAAACTTGTCCCACAGAGGATGTGGGTACTTCTTCTGTAATCTCCGCCTTGAAAGAGCTTGTGTGTTCACTTTTCGATTCATTCTTCTTATACACCATCCACATCTTCTGTGGTTCGAATATATTTATGAGGAAACTGTTTCCTTCCTCTCCTAAGATGGTTCTCTTTACTTCGCGATTATAAAAAGTCTTGTTACCCTTTTTCTATCATTGACATAAAGAACATCAAAAGGGGCTCCTTCGTTATTTTTTGTGTTACATTCTGTGGTTGTGTTGATCTGCTAAATAGCTGTAGTATGACCCTTTTTTTTCACTATTATGATTAGGAGTCCTGAAATTTATAGATCTACAAAAAACCGCGCGAATTAACTTGGTATAACATTAGCTACTGTGAGCCAACCTCAGGCAGGGTGCTAAGAAAGTCAGTTTTACAGCTTGCCCTAACCAAAAGTCATTTCAACTAGCCCGAAAAATTATTTTTTTGATTAGCAGGTTTGATTACAATTTTTCTCTGATTTGGAATCCCCGAAAAACGTCACTTACATATGTGCCAGTCTGGCGAGTTAAGAAGAGAAATCATTAGACCGATAGCAAAATCCACTAGCCCCGGGCTATCTACCCTGGGTGCCAGAGGCTTTTCATGCTCGGTTTCCGGTTTCGGTTAACGCTCGTATATTCGGCCATCAGCCGAAGACGTGTCGGCCTGCGGCCGACGAAGCTCCTCGTTGCACGCGAGAAAACACCTCTGGTACCTAGGGTACGGGCTATCGGACACCACTTACTTTTTTTTCACGCTGCCTCAGGTAGATTACATGGTTATGTATGAGAGGTCTGTTAACATCGGTTTCGTTGCTAAGAACCAACTGAGATTGCGGTTTACCGTTTCGTTGCTGAAGACTTAGAACTGTGTGTTTTGTCAACTGAGTTGCAGGAGAAAAAGAAGAGATCAGGAGAAGAGGGAGGTGAAGGAGGCAAAGGTGGAAAAGGGAAAGGAAAGGAAGAAGACGACGCTGAAGACGCCTTGGACTGGTGGTCACGTTACTATGAAACATTAAAGGACAGAGAACGTAGTGAGAGAAGAGAAGGACAAGCCATGTCACGCACTTCAAAGAAGAAGGAAAAGACGGCCGAAGAAACGGAGGAGGAAAAACTGAAAAAGAAAATTCCCCGACTGACGGTAAGAACGTCTAAGAGTTCCGAGGAGCCTTATCCCTTTAAGTCCCAAGAGTAAGTCCAAGGTTTTATTTAGAGAATTTGAGGGGTAGAGCGCTTCCCCCCCAAAATGCCCAGCTTCCCTCCCCCCCGGACCCCATAGGAAGCTCGTGGCCGAAGGCCACTCGGGACTTCTCAGTGTGTGGACTCCTGTATAGTTACAACTGGTTTTAACGCTTCTGTTGATAGGCGAAAATCAAACACGTCTGTCTGAGGCTTCTTGCCTTCGAATACAGCCATCTCTCCTGTATTCGCAGGCTAGAGGCCTTAGGTAGTAAGAAATCTGTATCAGCACTTCAGTCAGGAATTCTACGCTCTTTTGTCTTAAAGGTTTAAGTACTAGTGATGGGAAAAGTAATCATTCTTTTTATTGATTACAGATCTTTGACGAAGAGTTGGAATACCTGCCAGAGTATAATGGATTTAACGATTGGCTCCATGCCTTTGCGCTCTACCGCGGTAAGAAATCTAGCGAAGATGATGACGATGACCACAGGATCGTTGGGAAGTTCAAGGTATCGTTTCCAATTCTATATATCGGTTCTTCATGCCATTTTCCAACAGTCGAGAATTATCGTTACTTTATTGGGGCGCACTGAAGTTTTCTCATTCTTTGAGCCCGGCAACGTGTATTTTCTTCATACTCTTACTTATTTGTTGTAAATCCCTCCTATGTTGTGGTTGGCTGAAGTATTTTTTTCATGAAGTTATCTGATTCAAACGGCGTGAATAGTTTCCAGTGACTAGCGACTGACGGGCGCGGATCCACACCTGTTTCCACCGTTTTATGGAAATGGGACACATTTTTCAAAAGAAGTAATATTTTAATAAGAAGAACACTTTCCAAGTTAAAATTTGGCCAGTATCCTGTCTGAATGACTCCGAAACACAGGAAAGGGGACTTAGGAGTAAAACTCCAAAATATTTCCGGGGGGAGCCCGTCACCGGACCCCGCTAGAAACTTGCGCCTTCGGCGCTTATTTAGGGAATCGGTCAGTATTTGTCCCAGAACCGCGCCTAACTGGCTGTTGCACGTTCTTTGTGTTACGTTTTCGGCGTATCTTACATCGTCAACGTGTCTGTTTCTTTTAAGGGGTCTTTGAAAGTATGGAAGTACCCCCTGCCCGAACACGTGGAAATGGATCCTCTAGTTGGTACATTTCTCAAGTTACCAAGTAATGAGCCCGTCAATGTGCTGGCACGAGTTTACGTCATCAAGGTACACAATCAGATACTAGCAGTAAGCCCGACAGGATAATGCGCCTGTAGCTTGGAACGGAAATTTGTGTAAAACCAGTGTTTTACTTAAGTTGTTTATGTTAAAACGTTTATAATTACAGTCGAACCTCTACTAACGGCCACCTCTCTACAACCACCACTTTTTTCTGTCCCTCAGCGAAGTTGGCCGTTGTGGAGAGGTTCAACTGAACTTTTCAGTGTTTCTCAGTTTAAAGTGTGAAATACACACGAGGGGGATTGAACATAAAGCTTACGTAGTACTAACAGTGGTAAAGTTGATCTGTTTCTTTAATTGAATCAAAGCATCGCGTGGTCAGGGTTGTAAAACGGAAAAATCAACCAGTCATGAGCAAACAGCCGGAAACGCCTTCAAGGACAGAAAAATTTGTAAATTTTACGTCATTACCTTATTTTTCATGTTAAACGAGCAGGAGTGTATTATCAGTTTTAAAAACTCTAGGCGAAGCCGAAAGTTTTTTTAAACCTTATAATACACGACTGCGAGTTTTTTGAACAGCTGAAAAATCTCTAACATTGATCAACTCATTCTTGCGCAAATATTTAGATTTTGGGTTATTTTGGTTCAAAAAATTGGACGTAAAGTTTAGCCGTGTCTTTATCCGATAAAAAGACACTCATTAAACATTAATTTCCTTTGTTTTTTCTTTATGAATTATTAATGAGCTTTTGAAGAAGCAGTCAAGAACTATCGATCTCAGCCTTCAAGCAAGCTGTCTGCTGCCCTGGGGAGGGGATAAAAAAACCTTTCCCCCCCCCCCAGAGTCCCCCAAGAGAGCTTGCTTGCCGGCTATTATCGATCTGTAAGGTTATGGCGGATCACTTTAGGTTTCTGAGAAACTGCCCACTTACCCCTCCCCTGAGCTAACACTAACACTTAGTTCTCACGTAAGGCAAAATGATGGCTTAGGGGAGGGGTAGGTGGGCAGTTTCCTGGCAATACGATATACAGATAGGTCATTTCTGAGTTGGCTTAAGCCTCTGTTTCAAAGTGAGGCTGTTATTCTCACCCAAATAAAACTTATTTTTACAAGAAAGGTTTTGCACGTAGATTGGTTTTGAAGGTGAGAGTTTTTGGAACTCGGAATTGACCTATCAGGAAGTGATTAAATTATTTACGATCATATGTTTGTTCTAGGCTCTAAACCTGCATCCCTCAGATGTCAATGGAAAGGCGAGTAGTACTCTGCGTTCTCCCTTTGCTTTAGTTGTAACACATTGACACCTACATGTTCATATCTGTTTTTAGAACGCTTGATTTGTTTTGAGGATCGTTCTCATATTAAGTGCAAAATTGATCATTTCTTTCAATTCACTCATTCCTGTTTCTTTAGGCTGATCCTTACCTTGTTGTAACGTTGGGCAAACACAAAGTGAGAGACCGAGATAACTACGTGTCAAAACAACTCAACCCTGTGTTTGGAAGGTAACAACCTGCTAAACCAGTTATTTTCAGTTATTAGTTGGTAAAATCTGCTCTTCGAAATTCTCTATAAAACAAAGTATTTAACGGTACCATTAAGACGAGAGACTAGGATAATGTATAAGACAACCTTATAAGACGGGGGACGTCAACATAATCCCGTTCTGACTGCAAGAAATCCAGCAGTAAACCTTTTTGTAAGGGTTCTTATTGTACCGTTGGACCATCAGAGCAACAAAGTGAACCCCAAGAGATTGGACCAGAAAACAGGGTCGTCCAAAAACAAGATGGAGAGACAATCTCACCAGGCAGCAGATCGAACCCCGTATGTCCTGTGTTAACAGTGAATACAATCCCGGATGATAATGATGATGATGATGATGATGATTTTAGCTCGTGAAATACAACCCATTAGGGTTTTACCAACTTTATAGATGGCGATGTGTTTATCCCAAAGACAGCTTCTCTATAATCTCTGCTGTTATGATCATTGTTTGTATGGATTGCAACTTGGATCAACGTCTAACCGTTTTGTTTGATGTGCCGCGTCTCGTGGCACCCCCTTCGGCTAGATGCACATTACATTCACGTTTAGCCAGTCTGATCAGATTTGCTGTGTTCGTGTTCTAGGTGCTTCGAATTCGAGGCGATCATTCCCATGGACTCGGTACTTACAGTCGGTGTCTATGACTGGGATTTGGTTGGCAGTGATGATCTTATTGGTGAAACCAAAGTTGATCTGGAAAACAGGTTCTACAGCAGACACCGCCCAACATGCGGCCTTCAGGAGAGCTATGCCACGTAAGGATTTCAGTGCTTAGTTTTATTTGGAAGAACGAGAAGGGCAAGCAGACTCGTTGCTATCGCACGCCCCGGGTTACTCCCTATAATGACCTATACGGGGAGGCCCCGCCCAAAAGGGGTACCTTTTTCAGACCTCAGGTGTATGAAAAGGTAGGGGTGTCTGTCATATCGTTCTAAGACCAAAAGGGCTAAAAGATCCATTTTAAGGATGTGAAAGAGACAAGAAAACTTCCTGCTTTGTTGTTAGTGGTTTATTCATCTTTGAGGTGCATTTACAGCAGTTATACAGGATGCTGTTGCAGTGTTCGTAATTAGATATGTGAATGGGGTGCCATCTGTCATCAGAAGGTTTACGAAAGGGGTCTTTTTTTGTGTCAAAAATGGTACATGAAAGGTTAAGGGGTTGGACCTCGGGGCGGAGCCTCCCCGTATAAATCTTCTGTGAGTACCCCTTTCCCCCAGGCGCAGGCTCAGGTCAACACCTAGATCGAGTATCACTAAGTTTCACTTAAATTTTAGGTCAGTGGAAAAAAAAAATCGGTTGTCCATTTTTGCGCACATATAGTGTAATAAGTCATGTTGAACTACTGGGCTATCGCTGAGGCTTCCCTTGTTCTGTCATGCCGCTAATTGCTTTTAGCTCTCTGGCCACAACTGAAAATTTTTTCTCTTTTTAATAATTTATATTGAACTGGACATTCTTAGTACTCTGACCCTTTTGTGTTCGTCATTTGTTCGTCTGCTTCAGGTTGTGGTTGGATGAGGGGTGCCTGTATCCCGAGGTTTCAAATACGTCGAGGACATATTTTATGATTAAGAGACTAATTCGTTCATTTTTCCCAGATTTGGATTTAACAAATGGCGTGATCCAATGCGCCCGACCCAGGTTCTCGCCAAGTTGTGCAAGGATGAGGGACTGGACGGACCACACTACTCCACAGGCAGAGTTCGCATTGACAACAAAGTGTTTGGAGCATCTTCGCAAGTCCTGGAGGAGAGTGGTAGGTGTAATCACTTCTGTTACTAATCTTAGATGTTTGCATATCCCTTCAGTTCAATAACAATACTAAACTTCCATGTTTGACACTGCTGAACGTTATGTATCATAAATATGCTAACAAAAATTCAAGATCGCTTTGTTACAGGTAAAACTGTCTTTGGGGCTCTTTTGTTAGCTTAAGCTCCAAAAAATAGCTTGGATTTGGAGACGGAAATACCTCTAGTCAACCAATAATGGTGCGAACATTTCACTGGTGTCTGGTTCTGATTTGCGTGATTTTGATTGGCTCAGAGCACCGGGCGAAGACGCGTCTCATTCAGGCGCCGGAATTCTCCGTTACAGTCCGCAAAATATGGTCAACTTACTCTTCTTGTGATGAGCGAACGCTTAGTGTTGGTCCCTGTCATTCTTCAGGCCCCAGTTGTTCTAAAGGCGGATATAGGGAGACCTCCCTAAAAGGAAGTCTACAATTGTTCTTCAATCATTTCCTTTGACCTTAACTAAGAGGGGACACCTATAGTTGGTCCCTGCAGTTATTCAGCCATATTCTTTGACTCTGTATTTGGCGGACAGCTGCGGACACCTCCCTAAAATGGACACCTTTGTCCCTGTCGTTCTTCGGTCATTTTGTTTTACTCTGTATAAGACGGACGCCTCCCTCAAGTTTACCCCTCTCTTACTTCAGTCATTTTCTTTGACTCTCTTGAAAGGCGGACTTAAAGTGCCGGTCCCAAGGGTGTTCATGTCAAAGAGAGTTCATTGTAATGTCTTCGTTATATTTGCCGTAGGGTTAAGCCAGTGTTATTCTTGCAGGTCATTTCAAACAGTCAGATGAACCAGTAGCACTCAAAGCTCTGCGGAATTTCCACACTTTGAAGAGAGGCTTTCATCTGGTGCCGGAACATGTTGAGACCAGGTCACTGTTCAACCCAGAAAAACCCGGCGTGGAACAGGTAGGAAATAGATTATTTCACTTACAAACACCCCTAGCCTCCGTCGCCTTCGTCGCGCGTTCTCTCCCCCCCCCCCCGAGGGAGAAGGAAGGAACCGGGAAGAAACTCGTGACAAAGCCCTAAGAACGTCTGCGTGGGAGGCTAAAACGCCGCAGGTGCTAGTACGTTTGGCGATCTTTTAGTTTTTCTCACTTACTTCTCGATTGTTTTTGTTGCTGCTTTATTTTCTTTTCTCCTGAAAAAAGGTAATCTCTTTTTGTATTTCAGGGTAAAGTTGAGATGTGGGTTGACATGTTTCCCATGGATATGCCTTCACCCGGAGCACCAGTGGATATAACTCCCAGAAAACCAACAAAGTAAGATATCTTGCTCCACCTTGTCTAGTCTTTTAATAAACATCTTTAATGTCACAACAGACAAACTAGCTTGACTCGCTTTCAAACTGGAAGATAGTGACGTTATCATCGTCTTCTTAATAGAACAAATCTGATATAAATATATTATGAATAGCAATGCAAAAGGTTAACGGTTTGCAAGGAACTTTGTAAAAAGTAGGCATGGTGAAAATGTTGAACATGTGACGTAGTATGCTCGAGGCCTATTAAGCGTTTTTACACCAAACCAATGAAACAACGGCGACCAATCGGAACAGTTGAAGCCAATACTTTGAACCAATCAGAGCTCGAGGCAGATACATGTAGAGGGCGGTTGGCGCGGGAGAACGAAAACGCGTGCGAGTAAGTCACACTTGGATTTGATTTTGCTTTGATTGGTTAGCGAAGTGGCGCGAAATTATTAGCTAGTCACAGTAGAATTCCTTAATACTGAGAGCCTAGTATCAGCATTACAGAGTTGTCTGTGTCATAGAGGCTGGGATTGTATGAATTTTGGTATCTTCGGGACTTACACAGTGTCCATATTAGAGAGGTGTCCGTATTACAGAGATTTCCATAGGGAGTCTCAGCTATTTCAAGGATTCATCCAACAATACGAGATTGATTATTTTCACTACTGACTACATTGAAAACCACTCTTGGTGTCCATCCTGTAGTTAATGTGGAACTCGAGTACAGAAATTTTAAATCTCAGAGTTTTTTAAATTCATGTTTACTTTAGTTACGAGCTGAGGGTTGTCATCTGGAACACTGAAGACGTGCCACTTGAGGAATCCAACATACTGACAGGAGAGAAGTGTAGTGATATCTTTGTTAAAGGGTGAGTACTTATGCAAGGAAAGCGTTGTTATGGCTTTTATTGCCCATAGGAAACAACAAAGAAGCCAGTCTTGCTCAAGATGTGGGTGGTTTTCCCCCCCCCCTCCCCCGGGCCTTGGGGGAACTCCATATAAAAGCCTATACAGAGATGCTCCACCCGAAAGGGGTACCGTATGTGAAACTTTCGTTTACTTCAACTAGTTAGGGTAGGGAAATCTGTGATTTCGGTCTGTAAAACGTCCCCAAGGGGCTAACTGATGTATTTTAAGGCTGTAAAAAAAAATCGATTAATTGTTCTGGTTGTGTGATTTACTCATATTGAAAGACCATTTGTCCAAAACTATTTGTCAAAAATGGTATGTAAAAGGGTAAGGGGTTGGGAAAGGTTTTGGTTCATTATGTTCCGCAAGATTTTGTCACCGCAGTTTTTGTCCCACTTTATGTCCCAGAAAATTTGCCTGCTTGACTGGCTTGTTTTAGTGGTAAAATATTAGGGACCGGTCATTATTTATCGCCCGGGGGGGGGGGGAGGCGGAAGATTTGGGGCTAAACAAGGTGAAATTTAGCTGATCCCCCCTTGGAGCGTTACTTCACTGAAGTGATCCCCCCTAATAACTTTTGATGACTTTCCCCCACCCTCATGTCCTTATTTTCCAAGCATATTTGAGTGGTTCCCCCCTCTGAATCCTTCCAAAGTTTTAAGCGGTCCCCCCTTTTGGGTTCTCAGTTACGACTGATCCCCCCTTTTGTTTTCCTAAAAATCAAGTGATCCCCCTTAAAATCCTCCCCCCGCCTTCCCGGGCGCTAAATAATGACTGGTCCCTAAGTGATTGAGGAACCAGAAGGATGAATGCTGAAGTAATAATTATCACCTACAAATTGAAAATCCCTTGGCACAGGATTTCAGAATGGTGTGTATAGGCTATTTTATGTAGAACTCTCTCCTTGATAACAATGAATTTACGATGTGTCCTTCCCTTTCGTAGTTGGCTGGAAGGGATGAAAGAAGATCGTCAACAAACAGACGTGCATTACAGGTAGGCCCTTCACGTGTCTAGCAAGAACTATTTTGATATATTTGCAGGGTTGTCTGGAACAACGGCTGTCATTTTTTCTCTCGCTATTCTCAGACATTTAAGGCCCTGTGTGCCACAAGTTACGAGTAGGATAGGTGAAGGTCAGTGGCGGATCCAGGGGAGGGGCCTTCCCCCCCGCCCCTTATTGTTACCAAGCTGAGGCCCAAAGGGCCGAAAATATTTTTTTTTGAAAACTGGGACCCCGTTCTCTCAGGGTCTGGATGTCCCTCTCCCTCCCCCGTTCACCTTATCTGAAGGTCTGGGTCCGCCGCCATCATAGTTGATTCTCACGCGCAGGCTTAAACCCAACAGTAATGTCAGATTTTGAAAACGACTTGAATCCCACCATTGGATAGAAACCCTTCGTTTACATTAGTTTCCTCGTTAGTGGAAAGTTCATTCCTACCGAACTGTTTAACGTACTTGTGTTGTTTTTTCCTTCAAGTGTTGAGATATTCATTTCAATGTGGAAATAGTTTTAAGGGAGGACATTTAACGCAACAAAAATGGATTGCCCCCTGGCGGTTTGCAGATTCCTTAGCCATGGTGCGCAAAGCTTGGCTGAACATTTGCAAAATGAAAGTAACGTTCTGCTGTAAATTCCACAGATCGCTCACTGGTGAAGGGAACTTCAACTGGCGGTTTATCTTCCCATTCCAGTATCAGAAAGCAGAAGAAAGAATTGTCATTACCAGAAAGGTGCGTTTGTTTCTTCGTCTCATCCTTACCTGCTACAACTGATATCACTCTTTACCACCCTGATCGCTTACATATACTTTAAATTTGTCTTCAATCATAGGCGAGTTTCTTTTCCTGGGATGAATCAGAAGAAAAGGTTCCTGCAAGGCTTCACTTACAGGTGTGGGATGCCGATGCTTTTTCTGCCGACGACTTCATTGGTAAGATAAGTAACTTCAATGCATTATTGCATAGCCTTATTCTAAGTATCTATGAAATACGAGATTAAGCGTGCTTAAAGAGTTTCCAAACACCCGGCACTAATAATGTTGCAATCGTGCGTCGCTGTTGTGTGGATATTTTAAGAACGCCTGGCGCTAATAATGTTGCAATCGTGCAAAGAAGATTAAATCAAAGTTATCTTTTATCTTCAACAAACACTTCAAATGGTTCACTTTTAACAAAGGTATCATTGAGTAGTTAAAGAATTACGAATCTATCACACAGACACACTTACCATCCTGGTGTATCTCTGTCGAAACATTACAACAACGTATTTTGGATAGTGAATAGTCGTTTAAGTCATTGATGTTTTTCGCGTTTTTGCCCTATCTCAAGCGCGTCATTAACGCGGGGCAATTCGTTCCAACGTTTTGGCTTCCCGTTTTACGCCCAGACCGAAGATAAAGGAGTCAATTTTAGCAGTCTATACTCACTGTCTTCCTCCGTGATCAGGTGATCTAACGCTGGATCTCACGCGCATGCCCAAGGGAGCCAAGAGTGCTAAGACCTGCACTCTGGACATGCTTAAACAAGATGGAAGTGTTCCTCAGATGTCCTTCTTCAAAGCCAAGCACATGAAAGGCTTTTGGCCATTCACTGTCAACACTGAAGAAGAAGAGATCGAACTGGCCGTAAGTGTGCTTTCTACTTGTTTTCAACGAAACTTTTTTGAACCGTTTTTCATTGCTGGTTGATGGTGGATTAATTTCTTTTTGTTTTGTCTCCTCACCGCTCTTTAATGAGAGAAGTAGTTGATGAAGGATCAATTTAGGTTTCTGGGAAACTGCCCACCTAGCCCTCCCCTAAGACAACATTAACACTTACTTCTCACGTAGGGCAAAATGTTGGGTTAGGGGAGGGGTAGGTGGGCAGTTTCCCAGAAACCTAAAGCGAGCCGGAACTTCAATGTATTTGTGTGCACAATGATCCCTACGTTCTTCCTTTTTTTGAGTCCATTGTGTTGAGTGTAGTTTGAGTTAGGAGTAGCAAGTTAAAAATGCAAATGTTTACGTTATTACTTTTTTTAAAACAGGGCAAAGTGGAAGCTGAACTTGAATTGTTGACTCAAGAGGAGGCTGAAAAGAAGCCCGCTGGACGGGCCCGTGAGGATCCGCAGGCTCTAGAGAAACCCAAGTAAGACCTGGAACTGTGCTTTGATTGCCTTAAATGTGCCGGACTGCCCCAAATTAGTTGCATTGTTTTGCCACACTTGTAACCTGCTACACGATTTTCGTATGCTACATATTTTATTTCGCTTGGTAGCGATTGCATGCTTTCCCGCGATTTGTGTTCACTGCTTCTCCACAGACCGTACTTGAACTTGCGGTTTGTCTCGCGTGTCGTGTTTTTTGTTGTGATCACTTGAACTTCAAGTTTGTTGTCTTTGCATGTAACTTGCTCTTTTAATGCCAATTTGTTTGCTTTTTCAGCCGCCCCGACTCAACCTTTACCTGGTTCATGAATCCCTTCAAGTCCTTAAAGTACATGTTATGGAATAACTACAAGATGTGCCTGATCAAGTTCCTGGTCATTGGACTGCTAGTGGCCCTTATGGGCTTGTTCTTCTACTCCATGCCTGTAAGACTGACCTTAACTAAATATAACAAAGTCACTCGTAAACTCCCGTCTTGCATGGGTAACAGGGTTAGTTTCAAAAGAAACTGCGTCAAGAGGGGTGCGTGTGGGTTTGGTGCCAGGGGGAACACAACAATTTGCTTTTATCAACGGAGTTGAAGAAGAGCTTCCAGCGAATCAAGGATTGAGGGTTGGGTTAGGTTAAGATTGTGGGTACTTGCTGACCATACAGTGGGAGAAGGAAATTGCGTAACGGTCTGCGAAACATGTCCAACATTTTCAACCAACGACATTTATGTGAATACTAGATACAACACTCTGGTTCAGTTTTAGTATCTCGTTGGATATCTTTGGACAAAGTTTCAATTTATCTAGACCTAACCCTGTTGCATGCAGTAACCAGACAATAAGCAGGTGTACGTCTTTTTTGTTTGATGTTGTATTGGTTAAAATGCGCCAGAACTGAGAGGGCTTAGAACTTATGACACCAGTTAAGATGCATTTAAAAGTTTACTCGGGATAAGCTTGTCCAAGGGTGACCTTTCTGGTAAGATAAGAATGACACAGGGACACCAGACACTATTTTTTCATGTAACTGTACAGACGTTCTTACTACGACTTCTTTTTGTTTTTTGGAAGCGTTTGTGGCCAAGCAATTATAACTGTTTCATCTTTGAGGTAGTTGTATTCACTTAAACAAAACAGCACGGCTTTGTCTGGCATGTTTTTTGACGCTCCAGTCATCCCTATAATGTTTATAAGTTTGTCCTTTAATAACTTCCCATAAGGGTTTGTACAGTTCCCTTTCCCACACAATTTAATCGTTTACCATCATTTGCTAATGCTCTTCGCGCTTTTGTTTTTTTCAGGGCTACACAGTTAAGAAGATCTTTGGAGCTTAAGCTCTGCAACCAAATCAGAAATCAGAGTCCTTCTCTGGCGTTGCTGAACAATTTATTTATGGAGGTTCCATAAGTTCCTCAATATAATTAAATTATATAACCTGCAATAGTCAAGTCGCAGTCCCAAAATTGGAGTTGTTTATGTCAACTTGTTTATTTTACTACAGAGGTGTATAAAATTGTAAAGTTTGACCATCATATTTATTTTTTCGTAAGCTCGTTTTTTTTGTTTTATATAAATTTATTTATTGTCGTAAAAGTTTCAGTTTGGTGCCCTCGAAAATGTCGTAAGGCAATTTCTGTTGTTCTTTTTTTTTTTCGTTTCTGTTCGAAAAACTTGATGTTCATACGTTGTATCGAGGTTTCATGATTTAAAATCTTAAGTTATGATGAGTTTAAATTCCTTCTTAATTATGATAATTATAATAAGTAAATTATGAAGTTTTGTCTTCAGTAAAATTCTCCCCAGGTTTCTCTCCTTAGAAGACCGTTATCTGCTGATTCTTGGTGTTAGATTCAGGGATAACATACAACGAAGCCTTCTATAAAGGAAAGATATTTCTAAGGTATTGAGTTCCCCAATTGGCCATTGTTCAGAAATAATTCTAAGGTTATATCGTAACTTTAAGAAGTCTTCGTGGCTCACTATTCCTGTCATATTCTATTAAAGTAGATTCCGGGCAACTGGTATTAGTCTAGAATTAGGAATGGGCTAATGGTAGAACGCCGGGCTCTATTCAAGCCTGTTTTAGACTTCCAGCAGTCTCTTATTTTTCTTTGCAAAGTTACTGCACGCAAAACCTAAGCACACGAGCGGCGAAGCCTCTTGCCGCGAGAAACGAGGGCGTAAGCCCGAGAAGAAAACATTGCTCGTCTCGTCTATATAACAACATCGTGGTTTGCAATCGCGCTGGATGAGATCAAGAACTAGAAAGATTTCAAGAGAAAAGGCGGACTGCAAGCAGTCAGCCTATTTAGAGCCAAGAGAGTTTTTTAAGTGGACTCAGATTATAGTTTAAAAAAAGAGTCTATTTTGGGGAAATCCGAAAGAAGAATTTTAAGGTTTGGAGATCGCAGAAAGTGAGCGTAGGGAAATTTAATGCATAGATATTAAAATGCAGCTTATGCTTGCTACGAAATAGCACACTGAGGGCAACTGGTCTTGCTGAACGTTTGTTTGTTCGACTTGATGTAATAATTTCTTGATTATATTTAAGTTACATATTTTATAATGGGAAAAATTTCCAGATATTTATCTTTTCTTCCCTGTCAAATACGGATGTGTTCTTTTCTCCACGAAAATTGTTTTTTGAGCTCGTCACCGGATACTTTTCTCTAAAATAGTTTGTCACGCAATTTTGCATGAAATTAAACTGTCAGGCAACTAAGAATTGCGTGACGAGCTCAAACAAGTTTATAGGAGGTAACTATTCCCCCCAAGAGGGGTGATTTTTTATTTAAATTGGCTTGATGCCATGGAATGAGCTGATTGTGTACAGAAAGTGTTGGCGAAGTCGTACAGTTTGAGTTGTAAATATTGATTTAAACGACGCTCAAAACCAGAAAAAGAACGTAGAATATAATAACAGTAATAGATGTTATTCGTCCGTAGTACTGGTGGTGGGATACAGTATCTATGGGTGATATTTATCAATAGTCAGTGTGTAGCTGTCATACGTGAGGTGTACTATTCAAAGCAATAAAGCTATTGAAACTCTGATGTTTGCGTGCTATATAGTAAGGCGGAAAAACTATTGGAAGAGTAAAGATGATGAGGTTTTTCTATGTCGGTGCAGCCCCGCGAAACTCCTGCTTGCAACAAACCTCGATCAGATTAAATTGCAGCTGAAAAACTTGCAAGAAGAGAAGGGGTAGAGTAATTTTTTTCCTGTCAAAATTGGGGTAATTGTAGCTACAGTGCTTGACGTACAACTTTGTTCTTGTCAAGAAATAGCTAACACTCCATAAAATATGTTCTATGCGCGTTGGCTATATCCGTTTGCGATCTGAGTCCGGATGCAAGATCGGACAATAGAAAAAATCTGGCACCCCCTCCACCTCTCCTCCATCCTTTATAATAACGTTACATCCGAAAACAATTGTATATTTTTTCCATGGCAACCTTACCAGGATGGCAAGGCTTTTTGAGCAGTGACCACCAAACTTTTAGCGAAAGAAAAAGCTGAAAATTCGGAATCCGGGACATCGGATTCAGATTTAGTCCACGCCAATTCCTAAGTAAAATAATTCGTATCCTTTTATTGATTAATGCGAGGAAGCTCAGGATTCGTTTTCAGATTGGAGTAGCTGGATTCGGATTCTTCTAAAGAAACGTAGCGTGCGCGCGTGGCAAGTTTCAACCGTTGCGCGCGTGGCCGCACTCGTCAGCTGTAAAACAAATTTGATTGGTTGACTTCGGTGCGCGCGCTTCTCCTTCTTTGTTATGTCACAAAGGAAAGAGTTCAGTTGCAAAACAAACCTTACGAAGTACAGACGTGTTTTTGCGAGTAGACATACTAGAGAAACATTTGCAGACTAATCGATATGAGAATTGGTTTTAGTTCTTTCCAAGAGCGCAGAAAGACGAGAGTGGAACTTAAAAGGTACATTTACATAAATTTTAAGTCCCACAAAGGGGGATACCCACCACAGCAAGACATGCAGTGCATGCAGTATGCTGCACGGAATCGGTTCTCTATTAGATTCTAAGAGAGTCTTTAAAAAGAGGAATGAAAAGCAGATTAAAGCTGATTCGCTGCTGATTCAGAGATCACTCAGTAGTAGTATTTCTGCAAGCCTGTTTGCTGTTTAACACGGCATTCTGGAAGTAGATCGGTTTTTGTTTCCTCGTTGCCTAAATTACCTGCACACCTAACCTTATAGAGTGATCAGCTTTCTTTTTTCCCGCCAAACTTTCAATACTTATTTCGCAGAATGTGCCATATCATAAAACATTCTGCAGTTTATCGACCCTTTTTTACACTAGGTCGTTCACTTTGGACCTCCCTCCACCCTCTGGAAGAGAATCGATACTTAGTCCTAAGATAGCCTACTCCGCAGGCTTCACTATCCTATTTTTGAGAACGAGTGGCAGAAGGGGGAGAGAACGGGGAGTGACAGTGATCCGGCAGTGATCAGTGACTCCTCCTCATTTTTTCTCCTTATCTCGTTCCTAGACTCCTCACGGTCAGTGTAAGCGTTACAGTAGGAGTTACCTGCGGAGGAGGCTTTTCCTAAGATCAACTGACAATTGATAAAAAGGAGCCAATGTGAACCCGACAAAAATGTCCTGTTAGTACCTTACACGGAATTTTCGTTTCTTGCTCGGCTTTCCATTTTTTTCATCTTCGACTCATAAACGTATATTCATTCAGTCTCTGTCTTTTGAAAGAATTGGATGAGACAGACATTTAATGAACTCGAGTGTCTTATTAGCTATAGGTAATACTTAAAAGTGGATTTTCCTTACTATTTTAAATACTATACTAAAGTTGTGTCTTTTCTATTATCCACAGAAAGCACAAACTTTATGGTTCCATATCTGCTTCCAAAAGGAAGGAAGTAATGAGGTTCAAAACTCGAATGGAACAACAAATTGAAGCTCTGAACAAACAGATTGCTAGCGAAAAAAGAGCTCTGTCATTAGCCAGAGCTAACAATCTTAGGAAGCCTGTCTGGTAAGAGGACATTTTTAAAAACGTTTATTTTCTCAAACTTCTTGCGGAAGTTGTCAATGTTTCAACTGAAGGATTTAGGAAGATTCCATCCCAGGATCCTTTTTTCTTATTTTTTCGTCGTCGATCACCGAAGTTTGACGTCCACTGCACGACTACGACGTGAAACCTCCTAATTTGCCGTTTTATGGAGGACGTGGACATGCGACGAAGAATTTCCCTTCCTCTTTTTGAACCTGAATAAAATCCTTAAGAATTCAACTCCAGGAAATGTCACCTGCATTTGACATATTGATCTGGTCCAAAAAACGCTTAAGGTCCCGATTAAAGAGAAGAGGGGCCTTGGTAACTAGGGAGCTCAAGAGATCAGTTAATTATTTTAAATATATTTATTTCTATTTTATTTATTTCGTTAAAGGACAGGATATTTCTATGCGAAATCAAGAATTAGCTTATAAAGCTTCGGTCCTGTGATTATCTTTTTCCGCTTAATACTGGTAATCCTTTGGCTGTAATACTTGGCCTGTGAAAAAAACAAAATGGCTTTCAATAATGGATATTAATAGCTACCGTTAGTCTCCTGCTCGGCCGTTTTTTGCGTCCTCAGGCAAAGTTCCGCTCTCTTCTTTTTTTGGCAGTAGAGCGGAACACAGACCGGCTGCATGGAAGTCTGGGATACAGTGAAATCAGCACACCGAAATACTTTTTTGGAATCTTTTCTCATCGTACAACGTTTGTCCCGGGGAGGAGGTGAAATCTATTTCTGAAATATCGCCGGCCTGGAAATCATTATTCCTTCCGCAGAGAATAAACCCAATCATTTTTTCTAGGTCTATTCAAGATCAAGAGCCGACAAAGAAAACGCTAGAGGGAAAAGACTTCCAAAATGGCCAGTTTCATCTGTCTGAATATCATAGACTATTACTTGAAGCCTGTCAGTTTGCCAGGTACACTAGTGAGCATCCACTTGAAAAGTGGACTGTCTGTTCACTTCCTAATTTGTACAAATCTTTCTGTTGAGAAATGCCAACCAAGACGCTGGGAATTCAAAACTCCGAGCCTTTAATAAAGAATTGAAAAATATATGCAAAGGAATCTGAGTTGTATTTTAGGAACTGGGACTATTCAAAAATATTATGACTTGTATTAAATGTAGACTGCAAATATTGAATGAACGCTCTTTGACATAGCCTGTCCCCGCCCCCTTCGAGATCTTTCATTAATATGATGTCGAATTATGAGTGACTGTAATACACTTTGATAATAAGTTTAGTTGTAGTAAATGTAAGACAAGGAAATACATGATCACTTTAAATGAGAACAAAAAAGTCAAGAAAATGTAAATTTGTTAACTATGTAGTTACACCAGTAATTCATACATATTACGGCGTAGGTAAAAGTATTCGCCTGAGATGGTTAACAATAGTTAGTGAATTGTAAAGAATAAACTTCAAGCGATTACAATATTTGTATAGTTGTCTTTTGGACTGTTTATCGTAATCCTTGAAGAGATACCTTACAAAAACGGTGAACAGGAAGTTCGCTTGAGATGCGTGGCACTTTCCATAAGATAACATAAGACCTAACAGGCATCAAATGTATTGAAGCGCTAACTCTAAGTTTGACTGAACATCGACCGTGAGAAGTCAACTGCTATAATTGCAACAACCGAAGACAAAAGCGAAAAGTCAAGTCGCTTTTGTTTCTCTTTAGAGGTCCTAGTTAAGTCAACCCTACTTGACTTTTAGGCTAGACTGACTCTGCTAAACATGGTAAAGGTGCTACCCATGGCCACCAATAAGTGACTGGGAAACAAAACCTCCTTTTGAATGGGTTCAAAAAGGGCAGAATATTAAAGGCATAGGGGCGCTTGAACAGATACTCAGCCACGTTAAAAGCCAAGGAGCAACAAATATGTCTAACCTAGTTTTCTTCATTGTGTTGTTTTCAACAAATGAAACAAAAACCCACGAATAGCAGTAATCACTCTGCTTTGAGAAACTAGAAAACAAGGGGATATTTTTTCTATTGAGGACTGGGTCGAGCTGGTGAACTAAAGAGAGCGTCCCTGGACCCTGGACTCTAATCATTTTTTCGTCTTCAAAATGGCGCCTGGAACAACAACTCAGGTAGGAATTTGAAAAATATATCGCCTTTTTCATGGGATTAAGAGCGAAATAGTTCATGAAACGTTATAAAAATGTTTTAACTTTAATTTTTGCTACCTTAAGTGCTGTCAATCAATAGTTTCTCCTTATGTATGCTGTGTTTTCACGGTAAAATTTAGATAGGCAAATCGTCGAATTTTGTTTATTTACCTGTTATTTAGAACTAGTTTGTTGCTATGGGCGAAACGATCTATCAAGGGACCAAGCTTGCGCTTTTCATTTCTTATTTTTGCTACGAAGACGTCTTACGAACTTTATTTACATCGTCTGGTTCTATCGAAATTGTATTTATGTCGAATATGTACAGCTGATACCGTGTACGTATGTGTGTGACGTGTATGTAGCCTGAACCTGAGATATAAATTTAACCGCAACATATATCTATAGTCTTTCTTTTTAATACCGCGGGAATTGAGTCTTAAACAGTGATATACTGAAAAGGGCTCTTTGAAGTGGATTGTTTTAATGATAAAATATTTCATTAAAATTAGTTAAATATTATAGTGAAAAGCAGCTTAGTTTTGAAGGATTCATTCCTTTTCCATATAGAGAAATTCTATCAGTACTTGATGTAAAGCTATGCCATTTACAACCGGCAACATAACATTATGCAGGGCTACATAATGTTATGGCATTTGTTGCAATGTAATAATTTATTGTTGTGTGACCGAAGTATCTGCAATATTTATCCTTCTTGTCCATTTAATATATAATATCCATAAACTGGACACCTCTAGTAGTGGTGGCATGTATATATGGAATACTTTGCACAGTGTGGAGACGTGTGTGGCCTCTTTGTTTCTCTTCACCCAGGTGTATAAATGGGTACCAGCAACATACTGCTGGGGGTTAACCCTGCGATGGACTAGCATCCTGTCTAGAGGGGAGTAGCAATACTCCTTAGGTGTGTGAATCATGCTAATGAAACTGGAATAAGCTCCGGCCGTTTGGACCTTTCGCTCGTGTGCACCTTTACCTACCTACTTTGCACTGTAAAGATTAAAGATGATGATGAAATTAGTGAGGGTGATGATGATGATGATGATATTGTATCTCTATAGGATGCCAGTCCAGACAATACAGAAGGACAACAAAGTAACACAATCATCTTTAATGCCTCCAAAGGAGAACTGTTCACACCTGCAAATGGATTTAAATCACTAGTTCGCAAGTTGAGATCTAACTGGAAAGTTATCACGTAAGTAGGAAACATCTGTCATAGTGACAATTTGCCTTAATTGTTTTAAAATTTGGAACAATGTGAGATTTTAGGGCATATTGTGATGATAGATAGACCATTAAAATCCCGGTTTTCAACTTGACTATAAAAATGTCTAATCTACAACAACAACAACAGTTTTATGAGTTAAGTACCTAATCAGAATGAAGTTTAGCTTAAACTTTTTGTAACCTACATGTAGGTTGATTCTCAATTTACTTTGTCTCCTAACCCTAATGTATAATTAAGGCTAGGAGAAAATAGAAATTGAGAATCAACCTTAATTTTATTTTGACCTATAACATTCTACGCATTCACACTTGCCTGCATTCAGTAAAGCTATTTGAGGCAGTCAGTGTGGATACTACATAATTTTAGAGACGTTATCATTAAATTTCGTATAATTTGGTTAAATGTAATTTAACTAAGTTAACCACCACAAGCTTAGCGGTCAAGCGGTTCATAAGCTTAGCGGTCAAGCGGTTCACAAGCGTAGCGGTCAAGCGGTTCACAAGCATAGCGGACAAGCGGTTCACAATCTTAGCAGTTAAGCGGTCGACAAGTTTAGCGGTCCACAAGTTAAGCAGTCAAGCGGTCCACAAGCTTAGCGGTCAAGCAGCCCACGAGCGTAGCGGGCATCCAGCAGTCAATCCCATAAGTGCAGGCTCACATGGTTTGTGGTAGCTTTGTACACGGCTAGGATCTGCGAGTTCTTCATCGAGCTTTTGTGCAGTGGTCTGTGGAGCGGTTCATTTAGCGTCTTCCCCCCTCCCATCCCTATTTTTCTTCCTTCCACTGTTTCATCAGTGTGATGGGTGCCTGGAATGCGGGCTCATGGCTGGGTTGCGGGGATTTGCCAGCCATGGGGGCAGTTTTCTATCTAGGGGCTGGCTGGCCACAGTGGAAGCCCCTGGGTATCCCAGGCACCCACCTTCCACTTAAGCGAGGCAGCTGGTTAACAATAATTTTCATCAATGTAATACAGCCTTGGGTCAGTTATTTGCATCGTGTTGAATAACAAAAGTGCTTTTTGTGTTATTCTCTGGCTAGGTTATTTCTGAAGTTGGTACTTGAAATGAATGTACATGTAACATTATTGCTATTGATTATTGGATCAGTGTAAGATTTTGGAAACTGCCCACCTACCACCTCCCTATTAAACTGATTTTTAACATTTAGCTTTTCAGTTTGGATAAAATTTTAGCTCAGGGTAGGATAAGTGGGAAATTTACCAGAATCTCATTACTTCTTATTGTTTTAGTGCAAAAAGTGTGCAAGCATGATACGATACAGCACCACAACCTGTTTTAAAATTTGATGTATCATTTAACAGAAATGATGAGGAAACAACTGTTTCTTCTGAACTTCAAATATATTAAGTGCTGTATGACTTTTATATGCTTTTACCTTGATTCTAGAAACAAAGATGAAATAACCGTAGAAAGAATAGCAACAGCCAAAGTTATTATATTTGGAGGACCAAGACGAAAGTTCACTGCAAATGAGGTGAATATAAACATATTTGAATAGTTTATTGTACTCTTGTATGTGGGTTTTAGTTTAGGGAAACTTGGACATAAGGGATTGCAAAGGCATTATTTTTTAAGTTTTGATTATGAGACTACACTTGTAGAGCAAGGAATGCTCCTTTACCCATTTCTTAAACCCCTCATAATCAGGCCTAATATTCTATAGCTTGTGCTAAATGCTTGGTGGGCCACTCTTTCCTTCGTTGCCTGTATATTGTACCATTACCAGTACCATTTTCAATTTTTCCATAAAATCTATGCTTAATTAAAGGGTAAAGTGTATATTGAAGAGATTACAGCCTAGGTGTGAGATTTAGAATCAAGACTTAAGACTTAATGTAATCTGAAACATTTATTTCAGTTTGATGCACTCAAGCAATACATTGAAAAAGGTGGAAACCTACTGATTTTGTTAGGAGAAGGAGGAGAGACCAGATTTGATACCAACATCAACTTTCTATTAGAAGACTATGGAATAATGGTGAACAATGGTATGAGAAATAATTCAGGCCTACCGACCCCTCATGCATTCAAGGAGAAAGTAGGGGTGATCAATACTGTCCCTCCCATCCAACCATCCAGCGCAGAAATCTGTTCAGGGTGAAGGAGTTTGTCCATTAACCAATTCACTTCTGGCCCTGGTTGTTCAAGCGATGTATAGGGCTATCCACCCAATTAGTTTGTTATCCAAGTTTTAGTAGAGATTTATCTGGCAGATAGCGCGATCCACCCTTTGAACAACTGGGGCCTAGAAACTTAGCAAGTGCTTTTCCAAGCTAGTCAAGCTGTTCTCTGCTCACTGTCTCACCAAAAAGAACCAAAAGTTACCAAAAAGCTGTTTACATTATTGGAGCACTGTGCTGCCATCTATTCCTCATGATGCTAAAATAATTACATCCTCTCATGGTCAGGTATGCACAGAAGGCAAAGTCTCGCTTTCTTTCCTCCCCTAACTTGACTGTGGCTTTTCGATCTTACTCTCTTTTTGTCTTCTACTGGGCACTCAACCCTCTTACCCCTAGGAATTTTCTTAAAAATTGTGGTTGCCATTTCGAATTTTGCTTAAATTACACCTGGTGGAGAACTGTAACTCATAGCTTTTCAGTATACTCAAACAGGGAAAGCATGTTCTAGCAGTAATGGTTGTTTATAATGTATACAATTTAACTATAAGTTGAGAGGAGGTAGTATACAGCGGGTTATACCCTTGGCTCATCTTCAGGTGGGTCATTCGGTCATCTTGTGCTGCTCATGAATGACTGTCTTTCTTCTCCCTCCATCTCTCCCTTTTCATTGTTTGTCAGTGTGACAATGATAAAAATAAAATAAATAATATAATCTTTTTCACAAACACAGATTCTGTTGTCAGGACAGTGTATTACAAGTATTTCCACCCTAAAGAAGTTTTAATATCAAATGGAGTCTTGAATAGGTGAGTACTGGTGTATATTCACACGTTTGTAGTAAGGGCACCAAAGGGACACACCCAGATGTTCACAAAATATCTACATGTATTGGTGTGAATGGTATGACGTTTGGTATCTCTGGAACCAATTGAACTGTCCATAATAGAAAGGTGCAGAGATGCAAACCACTGGAGATCTTAACTCTGGAGACTCCATTTTGCAGTTGCCCCATCAAAAACCACTGCAACACCCTCCTATAATCACAAAGTGACCCAGTCCCCAAATTATAACATGGGGGTGGCTCAAACATTAGTTCAAATTTTTACATGAATCACCAGGCATCAAAAGTATCTGTGACATACATGCAAAATTGCCGCAGGAAGTGTACTATGATTGACAAAAATACGGAATTTTGGGGAAAAATGGGCTTACAGTAATTCAAAACTGTCGTTGTAACAAAAAGCTCAAAATTTACCTTAATTTACCATGTATCTGGAAGATTTGGTGACCCCTACAGGAAAGATTTGTCCTGTGTCCCAAGACCCGAGACTTCTTTCAAATAATCTGAGAGTGTTGGCATTTATTTTTATAAGGTGTCATAAGGAGGGGTGCAACTATACTGTCTGGCAAAAATGGTTACAATGACAATCAAAGGTGGCCATTGTTGAGAGTGCATTCCATTTCATTGTCACTGCCCAGTTTCTAATGTAAATTTTTTTTGTCTTTTGCGTGTTTAGAGAGATCAATCGTGCTGCTGGAAAGTTTGTCCCTGGATCAACAGATTTTGATAAAACAGACCTAGGACAGTAAGTATTGCTGTGTAACAAAGTAATAGGTTGTTTCCTTTTGAGAAATACAGACATTCTTTACTGCTGTTCAGGATTTTTTTTTTTTCCTCTGCTGGGCTTTAAGTACAAGGTAGTGCAAGACTCTTCCCTTAATTGCTAGTGAAGGGATTGTGCTTCCATGTTCCCAGGGAGTTTTGAGCATTTCTGGTGTGAACTTGTTAACTACCATTGTCTTTGATTGACATTGTTTGTACTTTTAGGTCTCTGACATTTGTGTTTCCTTTTGGTGCAACCCTGAATGTGGTCAAACCAGCCATATCTGTGCTTTCATCTGGCAGTGTGTCATTTCCTCTTAACAGACCAGTCTGCGCCTTTCATTCGTCAAGGGTAAGTTCTTTTCAGGTTTATAACCCCTGTATTTTTTTGTTTTTAACCTTACAAAGGAACAGATCCTTGAAAACATACTGTAACCATTAATTTTTTCTGGTAGTTGTTATGGGTGCTGAAAATATGACCTGCTAACAGTTGCTAACATGTTAGGAAAATTTTGGATTATTTTTTTTTCTTTTCTTGAAATTTCGGACTCACTGAGGAGAAACAGTAAGTGGTGTTGAATTAGGCTGTTCACTTTAGACCAAAACAAAGTAGAGAACAACCTTGTTGTCAAAACATCCTTTTTCACTTCCAGTCTTAGATAGGTTTCACAATATTTAACTTGTAAGTCTTAGATAGGGTAGCAGAATTGGGGTTATTATAGGAGTTGCAATTTAAACCTCAGCAGAACAACCCACTCAAATCTAAGTTTTTTTCCCCCAGGATATTTTTCAGTGGTTCTTTTCCATTATTCATTAATTTCAAAGGAATATTTCTTCTTCTTAGTATTCAAAAGGAAAAATGGCTGTCCTAGGGTCTGTGCACATGTTCAGTGATCAATATCTTGACAAAGAAGAAAATGCCAAAGTTCAGGTACAGCTGTAGGTTCTGTTTTTAAACTATTATCATGCAATGTTAACCTACAATTTTGCTTACTATTTAAAAATATTTTACCTTTTATCTTGGGCTGGCTCCTGGTCTTAATGTTAAAATTTGCATGTGTTAGTGACACTAACTGCAGAAGAGCTGTGACAGCGGGACTTCCATCCCTAACAAGTCTAACCGTGGCAGAATAGCTCATGGGATAGCTGAGGCCAGGTAAAGAACAGCTCATGGCCCTCCTGGAACTTGGGATTTGGGTTGTGGCCTATGCAATCACCTACCTGCAGAAATCACCAGAAATCTTTATTGATCAAAATCAACCTTCTCTTTCAACCACTGTGGTTAGCATCAATCAATCAATCAATCAATCAATCAATTAATCAATAGACTTTATTGTAAGAGAGGAGCACGTGACAGTAGTGAAACTGATGCACTGTAGCCTGCACGCAAGCTTTCCTACTTGGGTGAGCAAAGTGAGCTGCGCAAGACCCCTTCTTTCGCATCTCCTCTTGCATGCTCCTCGCACGTCTACTTTTTACGATAATGACCCTGTGTCCCTAGTATGCCTAGAAAGTTGTGTCCAGTAGTCCAGGACTAGTGGATTTTGTTGTCTATAGGCTAGTGAATTCTGGTTAGGTGTGCCTGTTTGTGGGGTATTCATAACTTACAGAAGAACGGTAATCAGTCCTGCTCTTCAAACATTTGTTTTGGGCTAGTTGAAATTACTCTCCGGCTAGTTCATAACTTACTTTCTTCACACCCTGTGGTACCTTGCCTAGGTAAGCAAAGTATGCATGAGTGAGGTACACATCACAGCAGCTGACAGAGCTGGTTGATGGGATAGTGTTGAGGCTTTATCTGAAACATGACACGTCTAGGAGAGTTGAGGGTAAAGAGTAGCATTTATTTAAGAAGGTATCTACAGTAATGTTAAAGCATCCACTAACATGACTGACTGTATCTTTTTCCTCAAGGATGTGGTTTTTCAGTGGCTCACAACAAATGATATTCAACTCAACAATATTGATGCAGAGGACCCTGAGGTATGCAATGTCTTTCTGCCACATTGCAACTTTTAAGTTGGTATTCTTGGTTTGCAACCATGTGACAAGGCAGCCATGTTGGTGGTCAATACAATAGAATATTTTCTCGAAGAATTTACATAAAAATACAGTTAAGTTCCCAGAGGAGAGAAATACTTTTATTCTTGACCACCAACTTGGCCGCCGTGATATCACCTGAAAACCAGAAATTGCTTTGAATGAGAAGTAAGTTGGTGATCATTGGTAAGTCTCAAGATCTTAGTTTAATGTCATCAAAGTTGCACTGTTAATTTTTTTAGTCTTAACAGTTTTTTTCTTGGCAAACCCATTTCAGAGTGTATTAGGTTTTTATCCCAATTTTATTTCATTTAATTTATGCATGAATTTCACAATGATCGTGGATGAATATCTGAATGACCTTATTATTCTATGTTCTTTGTGCAGGTATCAGACTACCATTACATTCCAGACATCCCTAAAATGTCTGACAGGCTGAGAGTTTGCCTTCAAGAAAATGATGAGGTAAAATTTTAGTTGACAACTATAATTTGAAATGCTCATTTGTATCGCTTGTGTACAAACAATAGTCTATTCAAAGTGGTTTAATTGCAAAGAATTCCTCAAAAAGGGAGTTTTAGTGGTGGGAACTGTTGGTAAAAAGATCTCCCTAAAACAAAAGGAAGGAAATTTCTTAAAAAATGCTAATAAATAAATAAAAATGTGCTGTCCTAAAATAAAACTATTATTAGATATTTTGAAACTGAGCTGTCAGTTCTTTAGTTATCAGTCTTGAGTTGACAGGGGTTTTTTACTAACCACCAACGAAATATGTCAGCTACTTTGCTCACAGAAGTCCGCTACTTTTTTCCTGATAGGAGAAGCAGCTATATAGTTTTGAAAATGTCGTAAACAAAATATACCGTAGATGGTTTTCAGTCACGTGGTCAGCAGCTTTGGAATAAAAGAGATTTTTAACCTGTGAAAAGAGTTCAATTCCTACAGGATGTTTTTTGTACACAAACACGGCCGCTGATTCATTGTTTTGTACACAAATATGGCCACCGTGACGTCATGTGAAAATGATCTATACATATCGTCATTTGTTCATTGCTTGTAGGGGTTTATTGTGTGGCTGATAAATCGAAACTTGAATGAAAGCTATCTCTTACTCAGTTTAGTCCCCAGGATGCCAGAAATCACATCTTAAGGCTTTGAAATTTCAAAATTTTCTGGGGTACCACACTACCAGACCCCAGTGAAAAAGGGGACAAAAGGGCCCTTGTTGATACAGTAACTGTTGGTTTCTCTGTTCAATCCTGCTGGCTACGTCAATTTTTATTGAAACCCCTGAGATGATCTACATACAGAATAGAATTTACCCTATAAAGATTGTTTACTGGGGTATTTGTATTTCATAGTAGAGTTAGTCCATGCTAACCAATCAAAACAAAAAAAGGTAGAACTCTGAGCTTTGTCTCATCATACCTCATCATTGCCTAATCATACCTAATGATAATTGCCTTCATTCACCGTGAATCAGCAAAATAAGACAGATGAAATGGTGACAGACAACACAAAGATGGATTGACACTGTGCCAGTGACTAAGACAAGGACAGACTAATACTAAATACCAACAAAGACATATGGCTCCCTCCTCAATATGCAAGACAACGTGTCTAGAAATTCAGACTAGGGACATGAGTAACCCAGTAAGAGGGCCTTATACAATTTTTTTGTAAATCTTAGGGGTCATGAATCATACATTTTTTTGTTTAAATTTCTAACAATATTAATTATATTTTTTATTCTGTTACTCTTTAGAGTGTGGGAAGGGACATCACCAAGATGTTTGATGAAGATCTTTTTAAGTTGGACACAAGTGTTGTTCCTGCTGCCATCAGGTAATTATTACACTAATATTGGTGTATTAAAACTTATGCATTGGCTCGAAGGCTTGGGAGAATAAATGTTTATTTAAGAGTTTAAACGTTTTTCGATTGCTAACTTATTTACTTGTTAGATAATGATGAATATTATTTTTCAGAGCATATGAGGATCTTAGGGTCAAACATGAACCACTTCAGCTGATTACTCCTCAGTTTGAGACTCCTCTTCCTCCTCTTCAACCTGCTGTAAGTTTATTGTAGTCCCAGAGTGCATTCAAAACTTGGCTGAGTAAATGTCTATTCAACGGCAAGATTATTTTGACCCACGGACTGTTGTTTATTTTTTAAACACCAGAAGGTTGACAAAATCGTAAACGCTTGTAACTGTATATTGATTCTCATCATTCAGAGACAGAAGCTTCAGCTTGTTGTTGAACCACTCAGCCAGGGTGTGGTTATAGGCGCTGGTTGCCCCTACAACAGAACGCATACCTAACGTCACCTTGTGGGTTATGGTAGTCTATACAATTGTGCTAATCTAGAGCCTGAAGGACAAACGGAATCAGCAATTTCCTTAGGAAAGCTTTTATTCATTCATTCATTTATTTATTTCATCGCTTTCACTATGGTTACAATAATAAGATAAGACAAGGATAAAATATACATTTGAAATAGACTACGAGTAGTCCCCCATTTTTCCTTAGGGATAGTGGAGCGTGCGAAACGCGGCGCGCTTGAAAATCACCCCACGCGAGAAAGGCGAGACGCGGCAGGGAGAGAGAAGCCTTTTCTCGCGTGGGGTGATTTTCACGCGCTCTCGTTTCGCTCGCTCTACTATGGGGAATACTCGTAGTCTGCATTTGAAAAAAAATACAAGAACGCGTGACGATGATGCGGGACAAACAACAGAGCGAGGCTCCAAGATTTTCAGTAGATCGACTTCCAGGTGTTAAAGTTATTGACGTCATAGTTTGTAGGGAAAGCAGCGGAGTAGCGTAAGAGAAGTAAGAGTGCTAGTGGATTCAGGCAGAGTATTCAGATTATTCTAGTCTGAATACTATTAAAGTGACTAAATTGAAAGAGTTTTTTGCGAGACTTTGGAATTAGAGCTGTGGCGAGTGAGACGAGTGCCTTTAGGCTTAACATAATCATCTGTGGGTAAGGAACAGAGGTCTGCGCGACACTTGAAATAAAAAAATTAGATCTTTCTGTCACTTTCACTTCATGCAAGTATGTTAACGGCAGCAGATTGAGGCGAGAAAGGCGGTCATGATGAGAAATATCCTCTTGTCAGTGCGTGTTCAAGATGAATTTTGTAGCCCTGCGTTGAAGACTCTCTATTCAGTTTTGTTGTTTGTTGTTGTTGTTATTTTGTCAAAGTAATCCTTACTTGAACTATGCTGTGTCTGTTTACTGCAGGTATTTCCTCCAACTTTTCGTGAGCTACCCGGTCCAGCGCTTGATTTGTTTGATTTGGATGAAAGCTTTTCATCAGAAAAGTCGAGATTGGCGCAAATCACCAACAAATGTAAGTGCATTAAACCACCTTAACCTCCTCTAATACTAGGGTTAACTGTTAGCAGTATCGGTAGTAGTACTTCTTAGCTTTCGTTTTGTTGGGATTGTTCTTTCAGTCTGTAGAGTCATCTGTGTCCTCGCGTTTGCACTCGATTAGGCTCCCTCGCAGCCATTTTGTCTCTCGTTTAGCGCTCTATAGACCCTCCCCCCCCGCCTTTTTTAACTTTTGACACAACCGTTGGCGAATATCCGTTGACACTGTTGAAAAGAGCGTCTCAATTAACTGAGTTGTCACGTTTGAGAGTGATAATGACAAAAACGAGCGAAGATGTAGTTCCGTATAAAGTTTGCAAAATTTTGTAGATGTTTGAACCTCATAAGTCAAACGTCTTCAAAGTTTGGTGACTTTACGTAGTATTGTCTCATTGTTAGTTTTCAACATATCAGGTTACTTAGGAGTACCCCTATGATGCCAATAGTATTTCACTAAGGAGGTAATAGCAGCATTTCCAGCTGCCCTGTGCTACAGATCTTTACTGTATTTAGCACAGGCCGTATTGGGGGCCCTGTTCCTTTTGTGCGACTTTACCTTACTGTGCTTTGCATCGACGTTTCTTCAGGTACTGAAGACGATCTTGAGTATTATGTGCGAGAGTGTGGTGATATCCTTGGTGTCTGTAGCAAGCTGCCATCAGACTGCAGAGATGCTAAACACATCTTGGATTATATTTTCCATCAAGTGGTAGAATTCAAAAAGTTAAATCAGGTAAGTAAGAGGTTAAGGTGGCTCGACTGGATTTTTTGGGGTTGATACCTTCCAACTTTGAGCATTACCTACGTCGGCATGATTAAAGATATAGAAGAAAGGTTACCACAACTGTATTATATAAAGATGAAAATTTCTTATGATCTGGGTTTTATTGCAATCGGAGTCGCCATGGCAACGTAATGACGTAATTACGTTTTTCATGTATCTTTGTGTTTCTCTGTTCCACGAGTTTTTTCAAAAAATCGCTTAAGGGAGTATGTACCTGCTATAATTGCCTCCATTATGGTAAAGTTTGAACAAATTCTATGAGAGCGTTTTCGAAGTATTTTGAAATGCAGTTTTAAGAATGATAAAAACTGTGAAATAGCATGCTACCTACACAATTCGCTAATATTTTAAGAAAATGATAAGCTTTGGGAACGAGGCTTCATCTCATCGTGGTTTGACTCCATTGAAAACTGCCTACGAAAAAAGAGGGGAATTGCTCCGGGCGATCGCGAGTAAGAAGAATTTTATTAACTTGCATTTAGCTGCTTTTGATACAGTTTTTGGACGTAATTTGGTCCATCCCTAAAAATTTCGCATTTTTCCAAAAACTGCTCGATAAATTTTTTTATAAATTCGACAATCCCGAGATCAATTGTCAAGAAATATTCCCTGCAAGTTTCAAGAACATTGAAAACGTGGAAGGCTTTTAAATAGGGCCTCAAATATAACCAATTTTTCCCCTAGATTTTGGGTTTACAAGTGAGCGTACTCATTATTCACTGGCATTGTTTTCAAGTTTCATATACACGTGCACATTTAGCAAAAAGATAGAATTTGCATCAAAAAGGACCCTCGGTTAAATCTTCGGGATATGCTAATTACCGGGTAAAGAGATTAATGATACATTATAACATCAGAGCAACTCTTTGTGATAGTTTCTGTGATGTTATAACCCGAGTAAGATAATTAAGTATTCCATCCTACACGATGAGCCGTGACGTTCACCGTTTCGGCTCTCACTGCTATCTGTGACGACAAGCCAACTATTAGCATATTCCTGATATTTCTTCGGAAAGTAATCGAGAGTTCTTTTTTATGCAAATTTATATCTTTTGCTGGTTGTGCACGTGCATATGAAACTTGAAAACAATGCCAGTGAATAATGAGGACGCTCACTTGTAAACACAAAATCTGGGGGGAAAATTGGTTATATTTGAGGCCCTATTTAAAAGCCTTCCCTATTTTCAATGTTCTTGAAACTTGCAGGGAATATTTCTTGACGATTGATCTCGGGATTGTCGAGTTTATAAAAAAATTTATCGAGCGGTTTTTGGAAAAATGCGAAATTCTTAGGCATGGACCAAATTACGTCCAAAAACTGTATCAAAAGCAGCTGACTGCAAGTTAATAAAATTCTTCTTACTCGCGATCGCCCAGAGCAATTCCCCTCTTTTTTTGGACGCAGTTTCCAATGGAATCAAACCACTATGAGATGAAGCCTCGTTCTCAAAGCTTATCATTTTCTTAAAATATTAGCGAATTGTGTGGCTAGCATGCTATTTCACTGTTTTTATCATTCTTAAAACTACATTTCAAAATATTTCGAAAACGCTCTCATAGAATTTGTTCAAACTACGCCATAATGGAGGCAATTATAGCAGGTACATACTCCCTTAAGCGATTTCATCAAAAAACTCCTGGAACAGAGAAACACAAAGATAAATGAAAAACGTAATGGCGTCATTACGTTGCCATGGCGACTCCGATTGCAATAAAACCCAGATCATAAGAAATTTTCATCTTTATATAATACAGTTGTGGTAATCTTTCTTCCATATCTTTACTCATGCCGACGTAGTTAATGCTCAAAGTTGGGAGGTATCATCCCCAAAAAATCCAGTCGAGCCACCTTAAAGTGGTAAACAGTTCACTCCAATCAGCATACAATGAATCAATGAATGAAGAGTCGTGGATGAGAGGACAATAGACGTACCCTCTTACAATACATATTAACATGTGAACAGTACGTTCGGACGTCAGCATACAAAGGCGCCAGTGGTAGCCGCCTTCAGTCCATTTATGAGCTTACTGTACCCACCCTACCCATGATGTGAATGATGTGATGTGTGAAGGTTGACCACAACACCTGGGGTCTACGTACCCTATACTCTTTTTGAACAGTGATGTGGGTTCTTTTACGTCCCACAAGAACCAGATAAGTGTAAGTGCTGTGAGACGGGACCTACGGTTTTTCGTTTTTATCCGAGAAGAGTAGAAAGGCTAACCGTTTGCAGATGTCATTACAAAGGCAGCACTTTCTTCTCAGTTATTTAAAGACCCTGAGTGTTGGTCCGGCTGGGGTTCGAACCTTAGACCTCCGGCCCAGCAGACCGGCGCTCACCCAACTGACCCAACCAGGCGGCGGTTTGTATTGTACCTATCAACTGTCGGCATGATATGGTCATGAGTGACGACCCAAACTATAAATTAACCTTCTGTACAAGGAGTATTATTTGCACACCTGTGAAAAGGTCTGTGGGATCGGCCTTCTCTGTTCAACTCCTCCAAAGGCAAAAATATAATTAGCGTCTATTTGCCCCTTTGATATCGGTATCAAAGAGATTCAACTGAACATTAGAACTCATCACTCGTTTTTGACATCCTTTCCAGCTCTTTCTGTTCACGAGTACTTGTCTACGACGAACACCTATGCGACCGGGACGATGTGTCCGTGTTACAGAGAGTCAACTAAAACAGTAAAAAAAGATACGGACCATTTCTAGGTCCGTTTTAGCGAGGTGTCAGTTTTATAGAGGTGCCCGTTATGAGAGACTTGCTGACTGTACCTAGTGTAGAAGCATTGTTCATATAGTCAGCCTTTTCCTTACTAAACGTTTAGGTCACGTGGTACATGCATCCATCTCATTTTAAGTTGTTGCTGTTACACTTACGTAATGCTTATCTTAAAGTAGTGATTCGTTATATCTAATATACATATATATTCTTTTTTGTAGGAACCTACAGATGAACCGTCAAATGAGCCTTCATTCCCAGATGGGACTTAAGAAGAACCAGTTAAATATGTTGTGGTTATAATAGTTTATTTATTACGGTCCCGTGTAAAGAACAGCATACCGATTGACTAGTCAGTGCCCAAAAAAAAATACAACACTCTTAAATTCCTGACTCTATTCCAGACCAAAATACGCCATTCTTCACGCCCGTTTTCTGATCTGGTCTCTAAACTTCTTAGCGGTTTTTAGAGCTGGCTTCTGTACACTGCTGTAAGCTGTACTCGGATCCGAACCCATTACCTTGTCCAAGTGAAGTCAACGTACTGTTAAAGTATTTTGAATTATTTCTTAGTACTTGACACTGAACTTCCTTATTCATTTGCAGCTTAAAAAGAACAAATTCGTTGATATGCTCTCGTAGTTCCCTTGAAAACCATGCCCGATTTCAGACCATAATGAGCAAAATCTACATCCATTTTCAGACCAAAACGGCTCAAAAATCCTATGTGCAAGTGTGGCACATACATACAGCTTATTTAAGGGAGTGTTCCCCACTGTTATCAGCCATCGTCAGATTTTTCTCATTGCTACGATAAATACCTTTATAGTTCACACTTAAAACGTTCTCTCTAAAGATCTGCCTTAACGAGAGAATGACGTCACTATTGAACGTAACTGGGAAAAAGATCGCTTTAATCACGCTCATGGTATTGCGTCTCATTGCTGGATGGCTTCGTTATTCTTGCCCCAGGCTTTTACAGTGGCTGTTTGGTTATTTATGTACTTCATAAGGAGAGTGGATGTCGGTAAGCGACGTTAGCGAGATGTCTAGGAAGGAGTCGCCGGGCAATTGGCTACTTCTCTTTGCCATCCACATGGGGGTACCCACCAGAGTTTTTTATATAGTGTACCGCCCTAGTTTGTATCTCAAAATCCGCGCCATTTTCATGACAAGACGTGCATTGTTCTTTCTGGTTGTTAGGAAAAGGTTTCCCAAAACTATGAATTATCGCAAAACCAAATCGTTCTGGTAACTATTCTGACAGTTAATTGTTTGTGTTAGTAGAAAGGAGTGTAAAGTTTCGTTGGTTAAGTTCTCTTTTCTGCCATTGCTGTTCTACGCCTTTTCAAAGCAAAAAAACCTGTGAAATACGCTTTAGAAGTTGTTTAACTAAATACGATTTGTAAAGATTGTAGTCCATCAAATTCTTTCTGCCCATTTGAATAATCTTTCTTTTGAAGAATTCTTTTTTTAATATAAAATGGCTGTATTTCATTTAATTTTGTTTCCGATAATACTAACAGGCGCGGATCTCGGATAAATACTGACCGATTTCTTACATGAGCGCCGAAGGCGCAAGTTTCTAGGGGGGATCCAAGGGCTTGCACCCCCTTGAAATATTTTGGATTTTAAATACCTTAAGTCTCCTTTCCTTTAGGTCTTTGAGTCATTCAGACAGGATACTGGCTAGATTTTAACTTGGAAAGTTTTCTCATTAAAATGTAATTATTGATGAAAAATCTGAGCGATTTTCGTGAAACGGTGGAAACCGGTGTGGATCCGTGCCTGACTAAGTTATATTGACATAGTAAGTTTGTAAATACGGTGGTGCGTAATTGCTATATTAAGTACATACTTTGCTGTAAATTACGAGTTGAAATAAAATTTATAAACAGTATTTACTCATGTTTTGGGTGCTTTTTTTCAAAATGGATGGACCTCTGTTATACTGTCAGAGAGCGTTGACCAATGGATTAGTGTAAGATTCTACTTAGCAACCCCGTCATCAAAACTAAAGTCTTACGGCCAAATTCTGAGTTAAGGGTGGGGTAGACGAGTAATGAAAGCCGGAATCTTATACCTACTGTAAGATTAAAATTTAGTAAGAGCTTTCCCCCGGCCTTATGTTATTCTCCTTATAAGGGCTTGTCCCACGGAGGTGGGGGACTCTAGATAGGTCAGGTGACATGTGGCGGGTCACCCCTGTCACCCCACCTATCATGTAGGTGATCTAATTAAAATGAGAGATTATATGGACAGGCGGGTAGCCCCACCTAAGCGGGTTACCTCACCTACCTGGGGTCCCCAACCTCGATGTAAACAGGCCCTAAGAATGTGCCCGCATTTCCTCTTTCTAGATGCAAATAAATAAGCGTCCAACCTTATCCCCAGGGAAAGGGAAAATGAGAAACCCTGGGAACAAGGTATCAAGGAAATACGGAGCGCTTACCATTTGTATGGAAAACCAGGAAATTTCGGGGAGAATTCAAATGGAATGGTTCATCCCCATGGGAATTTTTCGGAAAAAAGTAATACCTTGAGCGCTTACCATTTTGCACGGAAATTTCGGTGGAAAAGTCTGTCAAATGGTACTGGTATTTTTTTGGGCACCGAAAACAGGAACGGGATTCAGTTGTACCACTTACAAAATACGGGTAAAGTTTCCGCTTTCTCTGGACATGAAGCCTGACACTAGTAATCCAAACAAATGGTGCAGAAGATTTCGGTCGTTTCGGTAAAAACGGGAAAAAGGTAAACGCTCACGGAATCGATGATATCTCGGTCAACTGTGAACAGGAGGGTCGTTTGCGATTTGCTTTTTTGCCTTTTTATCTGCTATGAGTTGCCTATGAGAGTCATAGCTAAAAAAAATTACTGAACCAATATTTTGTTGTCTTGTAGCCCTAGTTCGAAATATGAGCAAAGGTGTCTTTGCGTGTGTGAGTATATGTTTGGAAAAGCAAGGATTTAATTAAACATGGGTTTGATCTCCTTATAAGCTTTTTCCAAGAAATATGGGAAACGATTATAGAGAGAGCAAGATCAGACCGGTCACCATAAAACCCACCAAACGCCCCCTTTTAAATCTAAATTTGCATTTTTGATTAGCAGTAGGCACATTCGAGCAGCACAAGGGAATGAAATAACACTGATTGGTGGAAGGCCAAAAAAATGAATATTTAATTTATTCTCAATTTTTCGCACGTTAAACCTCGAGTAAACAACATGGCGACCAACTTCGAAGTTAAACTTTTCTTGTGGTAAAGAATTATGCAGATTTCACCGTGGTTAAAAATGGAGACAAAGCATACACGATGGCTTGGTTAAAATTGTGGGAGGCCTAAGACGCTAAACGTGGCTTCAGGTTACTTTTTCCTTGGAACGGTGGGACGATTATAACCACGAGGTACGGCAACGTTGAACATTCGCTCCAACGCTAAAAGCTTTCAGTTTTGCAGTGGGTACTAAGGTTCAAATTTCAAGATGTTTAATACCCAATTACATACTGGAGTCAGTGTTAATTTGTGACGGAAAGAGATTTCTTGCCCTGGTGGGCATGTTATTGGGTCACCGTTACATGTACAGTTACAAGTTTGATTCCACACTGAACGTAAATCATCTTTTAATTTCATTCTTTATAAAACACCATTGTCCAGTAGCTTTTAAAATTTTAAGCTTATGGTTTGTTTTAGGTCTGTTTGTCCAGTATCAAAGAGTGGATATTTATTTTGATAAAAAGTTTCAGATAAAGTTTTTGCGTGGATTTGCAAAACGTCCAAAACTGACCTTCGATTTAGTAGGTTTTGATCTTACTAAGGGATTTCAAGCCAGTATCTTTTACCCGTAGGGTTGTAGTTTGTGTAAATAACAAATGCCGTCTTACTGGGTGTTGGAGTAAGGGCCTCTCGAGGCGTTTTCTTTTTTTTTCGACAACCCGATAAGCACTCACTTTTCAGTCGTGTGGGAGTTTCCTCTGAGGATTTTACCAGCCGAGAGGGTTATAAGACTCAAATGCTTTGTCCTTCACAAAGTATAGCAGATAACATCTGTAAAAAAAAACTTGAAGAGAGTTGTAAGACTGCAGTTTACATTGCCTGCGCGCAGACGTCTCCTATTTCCTTTGTTGCACGCGGAAAAGGGACGTCCCTTTTCCGCGTGCAACAAAGGAAATAGGAGACGTCTGCACGCAGGCAACAGTTTACACAGAGACCTGATAATCTGCAATTTCAGCAGGGAGCCTCAGAGTCCTTTTATCAAATTCTCAAGTCACTCTTTTTTTTGGCAAGACCGACCACGGGTGTTCAATCGGGCTCTTCATCTTAAAACGCACTGAAAACCCCTGGCTGTAGACACCAAGGTCAACTTTTAAGCAACTTTTTGTTTTCGTCAAGGTTCAGCATGGGAAAGCACGTGGCAACCCGCAAGGGTACATGGGATATCTATAAAACCGAGTAAGACTGGAACTACATGTAATGTTCAACATGGCGGATTGCCTGCGTGCAGACGTCTCCTATTAAATAGGAGACGTCTGCGCGTAGGCAACATGGCGGACGTGCCTGCAATGAAAGTACAGAGTACATGGCCTCAAACTAAAGACCACCAAAGGTTGGTTTTGATAGTTTTTACACCGTATTAGGCAGTATTTGAAACGAATCTAGTGAAGATGATAGGTAATTTACGTATATATCTGATTCTTGCTGACTAGAAGCAAAGTTACTCAGTTGTAAAGGGGTGTAGACAAAACCTGGGCCTAGCCCATGGGCTAGCCCATGGGCTACCCTATGGGCTACCCTATGGGCTACCCTATGGGCCACCCCTAATTTAAAAATAAATTTAAAATTATAAATTTAAAATTATAAAATTATAACAAATAAAAAAAATAATAAGAGAAGAAAAAACAGTTGACTCCTTTTTCTACGCACGCGCTGTTCCAACGACGTTTTTTACCCGTCACGACCTCGAGGCACGAAAACGAGGCTTTAGAATCTATATGCAAATTGTTGTGCGTTGCGTGACAATAAAAGGGGGTGGTAGGCCTACACGACTTTTACCTCATGTCAAAATGCTGCTTATTCCAACAAAGTACAACTAAAGTTGCTCCTGCAAAAGCAACTAAGCACAAAAGCCAACCCGGCAACTGATGAGGTTCGTGAGGAGAACCGAAACCATGGTCTTGCCTGATCACAAACTGTGGCAATAACAAAACAGTTTAAAGACTGTTAAGCTTATTCAAAGCTATTACCAAGGGAGGAACTACGCGCTCCAGTCAAAAGACTCACACTATCCTTAGAAAACACTAAGCTGGAGTTTACTGAGTCACAATTCAATTCTCCATAGTAAGTTTATGTAGCTTCAGTTTAAGCTGCAGTTCGCTCTTATAATTTTGGATCTGTAAGTCACTATCCGTGATAATTTAAAATTCTGCAAAGAAAACTGACGAGCTGGGCCCAGCGTGATACAGCATTGCAGAAAAACATTACGCTCACGGACTAAAGAAAATCGCTTAGATCAGATCCATAAGGAACTTTGGAGAAAATTGAAAACCTTATTCAGCCGAAATAAAAAAAGCTTTACGCTTCAAAAGAGAAAATGCGCTTGCATCAGAGGGCAAATCCTGCCGACCAGAAAACAATAACTACAGTCAATCGATATATATGTCATGACCTCTCAGTGTGAAACATGCGGCTAAAACCACATTTGCTCAGTAAAATGCAGAACCTTCCAGAGCATAATCTACCCAGCAGAGAAAAACAACTTTATTGGAATAAGCAGCATTTTGACATGAGGTAAAAGTCGTGTAGGCCTACCACCCCCTTTTGATAGCTGTAGTGTCAACTATTTCTAGCTAGTTAATACAATAATTATTACAAATATTAAGGCAAAGCTAGCGCGTTTGTTCTCGACTTCTCACATCACATTACACATCGATTGCACGTGGAACACAAATACGAACTCGGGAGTACGTTCATATATATAGCTCAGTTTACTCGTAATATAGTCCACTGCTCTTTAGATATGGGGAGTAAATTTGAGAAACTCGGATATGATGTCGTATTTAACCCGCCTGGGGACGGGAATTGCTTTTATTCTTCAGCTGCGACGGCCTTAAAGATTCCTTTGGAAATGCTGAAGAGTGTAGTCTTTGATCACCTCAAGGCTAATCAATACGATGTAAGTATTTATAGCTTACCTTCGTACGATAAAGATAAGTCTGTTTTGTTAAGTGACAGCTTTTTTACCAGCATCTAGCCTTGGAAATTGACAACCTGAATTACAACTGCCGATCGTACCGACGGTAGCTGACATGCAACCAAAGTGATATACTTGCTGGGCATATTTGTTGACACGGGCAATGCTACACACGTACGCGCTCAGCTTATGTTGTTAATGTTAATTTAGGAAGTTTTGGTTTAAGTCGTTTGACCACCCGCATGATTGTGCATGATTGTTGATGATAGTTTCCAACGCAAAACAATCATCAACAATCATGCACCGTTTGACCAGGCCTTAATGAAACTTGAGAAATTGGCGCTGGCGCGAGACGGCTGACGCGAGTCGCTGACGCAAGTCAGATACGATCACCTATCTTGTATTTTTTAAGGTTTTTTAAAGTTTTTAGAGTGACAAAAATCAAAATGATTTTCACTCAGTGGAAGTTAATTTTCTGATATTCAGAGAAAAAAATGTTCAAAGAAAGTCTTGAAAAGCGTGTGGAGATATTAAGTAAAAAAAAAGATATTTCGGAATAAAAGACAAAGGTGTCATTATGTCCTAAATGAGTGGACGCCCCGGGAAAATTTTTTCCGGCGAAATATGTTGTTCATGTTTCATGTTCATGTTGTCCGACAGCAGGATTTTGTGATCATTTGTGACTATTTGATTTTC